GTTAGAGCGAAGGTTGAATTTGTGTTGGAAACGCTTGGAGGTAAGTTTTAATGGTTAAAGTTTCGGTTTCTTATTCTCATTCTCTATTTTCTCAGTTTTCCTTGGTTCTCATGGGATTCTTCCACGTAATTAGGACTAAGTTCGTGTGAGGAGTCTTTTTCATCGTTGATTCATGCGTGGGTCTTCAATTTGAGGTAAGGGAAAACTTTACCCTATCTCATTATGTTTGAATGCCATGTAAATTGCTATGCAATGCCATGTGGATGGTTGGAATGTGTTTGTTTGGTAGAATTGATTGTAATGAGATTGTGGTAGAAAGATTGAATAAAGTATAGTGTGTATGATGGAATAAATTGATGAATGTAAATTATGTTGAAATGTTGTGTATATGAAATAGTTGTGCGTTAAATATAACGCAAATAAATATAGGCATTTGTGCCATGTACTGTGAATGAATGTGGGCCTGTGTGCTGTATGAGAATATGAATATCGTATGTAATTGAAATGTGTGTGAATGAGGTATGTTAAATGCAGTTGTAAATATGTTATGAATGATTCAACGATATACTGGAGGTGTGGAAGATGGGGACAGTAGAAATACTTTAGGAAAGAGAGAGTGGTGGTGACACTAACAGTAAGCGTGGGTGCACCACATGCCACACACTCTCCTCCTAACTAGACCTCTGACCAACACCTTTGCCGAGCGACTTGTGACCGCACATGTGGTATCCGTGATGTGGGGGTAACCTATGGCCATCCATGGTGTGAAACTGTGATCACAGTGCCACAGTGAGCGTGACTACGTGCAGTGAGTGCACGTGTGTGAAATGTTATTAGTGCAGTGAGTGCACCGGTTGTAACTTGAAATGGAGTGTATGATGAGTGTTGTATGTGATTGATAATACTTGAGTAGAATATATTAGAATACATGTAAGTGTGCAAGGTGAGTCTCTATGTTGTTTGTGTGATGGATAGTGTAGAGTACTCACCTTTACATTTGTTTTTCAAGTGACCAAGACGATTAACACCGGGTTCAGTGAAGGAATGGATGAAATTGCTATAAGGCTTAGATTTTATTTTGAAGTTTTGATGTAATTGAATTGGACCTGTAGTAGTTATTGATATAAAACTTGTAATCCCTTATTATTTTGAAAAACTTTGATGAAACTCTGTATTGAAAAATTATATTTAAATAAAATTTTAATTATTTTCATTTTACGAAATTTATTATTTTTGAAATTAAATTAAGGTATTACATATGGTATTATTGTGCTTAGCACAAGCCCTTTCTTTTCATCTATCATTCTTGTCAAAAAGAAATATGGTACTTAGAGATTTTCTATAAATTGCATAATTTTAAATACAATTATAATTAAGGACAATTTTCCAATTTCAATAGTGAATGAATTACGTGATGAGTTATTTGAAGCGAAATATTTCTTCAACCTAGACTTGAGATTAGGTTATCACCAAATCTTTATAAATATGGAAGATAAACATAAAATTACCTTTAGAACTTACCAAGGCCACTGCGAATGGCTAGTAATGTTATTTGAACTTATCAATCCCAAACACCTTCCAAAACTTATGAATAAAGTCTTTTGTGGCTTGCTTGAGAAAATTTGTCCTTGTATTCTTTTATGACATCTTAGTCTACACTCCATTTTGATAAACTTATTTACATAATTAAAAGTGGTTTTGTAACTTTGGCAGAAGAACAAGTTATTTGCAAAGTTATCGAATTGCACTTTTGGGTTGCAACAAATAGAGTATTTGGGCCAGGTTTTTGACGAAGGAACCTATAACTAAACTATGTACTGTATGAGGATAAATTGTTTGAGGTAAACTATGATCCACAGTAAAATCAATGCAATTCAGTTGATACGGTACCATTTTGAAGCGCAAATAAAAAAAAAAAAAAAAAACAAACATATAAGCAAGCATTTTATCTGCATATCAAATCTTCAAATGGAAATTTCAAAGTCCTACATATAATTCATTAACAAAAGAAAATTGTACGAAAGAAATGAATTTCTAGTTACAGTAAGTAGAGTGAAATTTATAGGTATATGTTCTGTGGGTTGAAGTTGGGCCGCTCTTATACATACGACACCATACTCTTCTATCACTCCCCATAGGCCATGGATCACGCACAATATTATTTACATCTGAAAAGACAACAATATTGAAACAATTGTATCATATGTGTTTCTTATTTACATTGTGGCCAATCCCCTTACGGTACGAAGAGGTTTTGAGTGGTGTGAGAATTAGCATGAATATATAAAATTTCTATATAAAAAAAAAACTCTAATGCTCAGATAAAAGAGTTTAGTACAAATTTTTCATGTAAGACAATAAATAATGTTCTTGAGATTTGAAGTTTTACTTATCTTATATAGACCTTTATGTTATTTTTAAAATAAAAATTTTATTGTTGTTCGAATCTAAGTTACCAATTACGTAGCAATGAGTTTAATGTTCATGATAAATTTTAGACATAAAAATTACATTACGAGATAGATGTTACTGATTGAATTTCAATACAAATGTCGATAATATTACCCTAGAACAAATTAGAATAATTATTTAAATGTGATACCTAATTTTAGGTTTGTTAGCTTGATTTATTAAAATCAAATCATAAATAAAATATCTCGTTGTATATGAGCAAGATTTAGATAATATTTGTAAAAAAAAAAAAAAAAGCATCAAATATTTCAATTCATATTTATACACACAATTTAGAAAAAAGCAATTAAAAAGAAGCAGCATAACACTGTACATCAAAATAAGTGGATATCTAAAACAAATTTTATTATTTATAATATTAAAATTAATATTATATATATATATATATATATTCTCAAAATATATTTCATTTACTAATAATACACTTTTAGCCATCCATTTTCAGTGTTTAAAAATTATTTTCCATCTTAAAAATACAATTGAATAGTTTATCAAGAAAATCAGTTAAAAAAAAAAAAGAACGTGTGTCTGAAATCCTAAATACATACACTTTATTCTTTATTCTACAATTGTTAATTTATCGAGCATTTGTTACGTCATTTAGTTATCTGTAAAAGAAGATTAAAATCACTACGAAACCAAAAATAGTTGCTTAGTGGGCACGTTCTGAAAATCGCTAAGCAGACAAGTGAAACATTCTACCGATCAATCATCACATGATTAAGAGCAAGAAAGAATTACTTTTAAAAAAGTCTATCTAAAAAATAATTACTTTAAAATAAGCTAATCTAAAGATGGTTATTTTTAATAATTCTTTTTCAGAAAAAAAATGTATCTTTAAGATAAGTTAATTCAAAGGTTAAAATCTAATTAACTAATTACCCAAAAACAAATATAATTAATCACTACTACACATAGAACCGGTCGATCCAGCACCCGGTTCACAAAGTTAAACAGATATTTTTTAAATAAAAAAAAAGTTCACAAATTTTAATTAAATAAATAAAAGATAGGCGTACATCGTACTCATCTTTCAGTGAGGTAAATAATCTTTTAAAAAAATTATTATTTGAATCAAAAGACCTCTCTTTTTTAAAACTGCAGTGACCCTTCCTTTTTATTTTTTTGCTACCAATTTTTTTACGCAAATTAATTGATATAAACTTTTGACTTTTACATTGTACATATATATTTTAATTTAAGTAAAATTTGAAGTTTAAAAATTAAAAATTCTAAAATTATTAGGATAAATCATTTTACTTTTTATCAATTGCGTCAAACCTCGTAAATGAATAAAATATAATTTTAAACTATATACAATGCGCATCTTCTACTAAAATAAATAAATAAATAAAAATAAAAAAATCAAGTTGTCATCACTTGATAACTGTGTTTCGCTTGGATTCACACACTCACTCGTTTAGTTGAGTGGAAAAAAGGTGGAAGAAAAATAAAATTCAAATTAAAACAGAAAAAGGGTTTAATTTTTTATCTTTAGAACTCTTTTTAAAAAAAATTTCAACTAAAGAAAATAAAAAAAATTGTAATTATTTTATGCTGAAAAAAAATTGTAATTATTGTTGCTCTTTTTATATAAACAAATCATTAAGATGGGCAACATTCTTTTTTGTTCTTTTCGGTCCACAGATTGCCAACATTCAAGAACAGAGTAAAACCGCAGAGGACTGTGGCAGAATAAAAGCGCTAAGCTCTTTCGTTTTATTGATTCTCATGTCGTTTTCACTGTCTTATTAAAAACATAGGATGCATGTGCTGGCACTACTATCCACCACTTTAACTAGATTTTCTTTCTTTCTTTTTTATAATATAATAATTTATACACATATTGTCTCATCTATGTTCTATTTAATTTGCAACACATTTAATATCAAATTAATATTTTTATTAGCTGTTGAGTTGGAAGTTAATTCTATTTTCTAATTCATTTAATAATAAAAATTCCAATCAATACTAAACACAGTAAAGCACTTATAAATTACTGCTAAAATGTTTTTTTTAACATGATACACGGAGTTGAGAATGAATCATCACATGTTCCATAAGACCGTTGATCAATAATCTCTTTCTTTCCTTTTGTATGATTGAAATGTGTCGCCTGGCTTTAATAGCAAGACTTGCAGATGTCTTGAAGCCAAAGGGTGACTAGCAGATTCAAGATTTGGAGGAAAAAATGGTTAAAACTGGGAACCTGAGTCTAAAAGAATGGAACTAGGTTACCCACAAAGTGCATTTAGGAAGTGGAAGTGAAGAAAGTTAGGACCACACGATGAAAATGGTAATCCTATCCATTTGAACAGTGAGCTGAGTCAGCACCGAACATCATCGATCGGATAAACGAACATCTTACAACATTGACTTGTACAACCTAATCCACATTCCGCCATTCACAGCAATTAACCGTATATTACATTTACGTCTTCCATACACTCTCAACTCTCAACTCTCAACTCTCAACTTCCCTTCTTCTGTCTATTTAAGGACACTCACAGCTCTGTCTCTTCAAGCCTTATCCTCCTTCAATCTCTCTCCTATCTATCCAACAACACTTCCCACTTCTTATCTATCGAATCAAATCCACCAAAATTGTTGTCAATCATACATACCACAGCTGAAAACAGAGGACTCTGTTCTTGTGCTGCAAAAATGGCTTCCCTCTATGAAGTGCTTGGGATTTCAGTGGGTGCAAGCTGCCTCGAAATAAAGGCTGCTTACAGAAAGCTTGCTAGAACGTGCCACCCTGATGTTGTGGCCATGAATCAGAAGGAAAGCTCAGCTAACCAGTTCATGATGATTCATTCAGCTTATTCAACACTCTCTGACCCAGAGAAGCGAGCACAATATGATAGAGAAATCTATAGAGTAAGAAGATCAGCGAATATAGCTTCCATGTCAGGAAGAAATCAGACATTTTCCTATGCCGGAAGGAAATGGGAAACGGACCAATGTTGGTAGCAGTAGCATACCATATAAAGAATTAACCATTTTGTTCTTTTCTTTAGTATAATTATGTAGGCGCACTTCCTTGTACATGGTTGATGGCCTTGGGTGCTGCAATTTGATCCATTCGTTAATGATAACCATTGTTTCCTCTGTTCAACAAGTCTTTTCTCTCAATCAGTCACCACTCACCTGCTTTCACTGCTGATACAAAATTATATATTAATGATCTTATATTTAAGCCCAAAAAATATAAAATAAAATTATATATATATATATTCTTTTTGGGTAAAAAAAAAGAAAAAGATGATAGCATTATACCAAGCTGAAAAAATAGGGCTAGAAATTCATAAAGCTCGAACAAATCGTTTCTTGTAAATTAGCATTTGAAACTGAATTGGATTTAATTTTTTAACGTAGTATTAAATTTATTCAATTTAAATGTTACTAAAAACATGTCAAGCTTGATTTTTTAATAAACATCGGCCGAAATGAACTAGAGATTTATGGCACATTATAACTTTAAGTGCAATTTGGATAAATTTATACATAAATTTTTATAAGAGAAAAAATTAATATAAAAATTTAATAATAATTTTTTAAAAATAAAGAAAACTTTAATTTAAACAATAAAAACTTATAAATTCTTCAGAAAAGTAGATCAACACCGGATATGATATTATCTAAGAAGAGAGAAGACAAAATGACAAATAGTGTCTTAAGGGAGGCACGGGGTACCCACGCCCGGGCCACGAAGGTAGGTGGCTTTTTTTGCCCTTGAATGGTTAATTTGAAAAGAAAATGTCAAAATAAGCCTCCATTCAAAGAAATTTCCTGTCTGGGGTTGGAGTGCATGTGGCAGTGAAGTCGTCCAGCATAAGGGCGACACTCAAAGTAAAAAGCGTCCACTTATTAGACGACATAGGTGAAATCGTCCAAAAGAGAGACGACACACGTCTGACGTGGTGACCTATGACAGTATCGTCCCTGTTTGAGCCGACATAGCTTGTGTCGATATATATTGGACGATTTTAATGTCGTCCATAACATAAGCGATTTTAATGTTACCTCGAGTAAAAATTTTGTCTTTACCCAAGTTAGAATGTGTATATATAGTAGGATGAAGCTCGAAAGAAAATGCAAGTAGCGAGAAGAAAGTGTGGAGCTGAGCAGGAATAACAGTGAGCAGCTGGACAAAAATAACAGTGTGAAGCTGGACAAGAAATAATAACTATTGAGCAATCAGGTTAGATTTTAAGTATTATAAATATATAATTTATTTTTAATAGTTATGTAGAAATTTTAATTTGAATAATAATATTTAATTTATATTTTAATGGCTTTTAAATATTAATGTTGTAATTTAATTTTTGTTGTTATGTTTGGAAATAAGGCAGATAACATATAATGTAAAAAATTAAATATTTAAATATTTGTAATTACAAATAAATTTAAAAATATATTTTGTTATATTATAAATTAATTTATAAATAAGCTTGGTTTATTTTAAATGCAGGATGAATGAAATTGTTGTTATATTATATTCAAATGGTAGAATATATGAAGGAAATGAGGATATAATTTTTGAAGGGCAAAAAAAGATGATTAAGATAGAATGTGGGATCACATTTGAGATGTTTAAACAGAAGATCCACACAAAGCTGAAATTGTCAAGTTGTCACGTAATTTTTAGATTAATTTCTCGAATTTTAGTTGGGACAAATGGTCGATATCATACAACTTTAGATGTATGTGACGATGAAGACATAGATTGCATGATAAGTGCGTGTCAACAACCACATCATAGGAATGTATTTGAGATATATGTGAATGTTGCGGTGGGTGAAACATCTTCTGCTGTGGCACGTCCATTAGAAGTGAATTTATCAGTCTCACAACTTCATGGAAGTGATGATGATGATGATGATGATGATTATGCACAAAGAGAAGGTAATATGAATTTAATAATTTTTAAATTTGAAAAATTGATGCTGCAAATGCTATTAATAATATAAGTTTACAATGTACAGATGAAGATGATGAAGATGATGAATATGAAGATGAAGAAAATATTTCATTAAATGATTTTTCTGATACTAAGACAGATGATGATTGTGATTCAATGATCAATATGGAGGGTATTGTAAGAGTTAGTTTACCGCAACAACAACATGGAGGTATGTTTTTTGTAGAACTTATAGTTGTAGTAATGTATAAATTGTTATTCATGGTATAAAATTGACGAATGAATTGTTGTAATGCAGAAACTACATTGCCCTTTTGGAATATAACCCCACATTACAGTCATATTAATTGGGAACACCCTGATGAAGAATTAGATTTTTTTGGAATGAATGAAGCGCAATCATGGAAGGAAGGAGATGCATTATATGTTGGACAACTATTTGATACTAAAGAAGATGTAAGAATGGCTATAAAACATTATGCCATGAGGAAGCAACAAAATTTTTTTGTGGTGGAGTCAAATGCAACAACATATGTTGTGAAGTGTGTCAATCACAATAGTGGATGTCCCTGGAAAGTTCGAGCATCGTTGCCAAAAAATGCAGACAAGTGAAAAATTATAAAGTGGGGTGGTGCCCATACGTGCTTAAATGCTTCAATCTCTCAAGACCACCAAAAGTTGGATTCCAAATTTATTTGCTCATGCATTCTTGGTATGTTTAATTTAATATTAAATTAGAGAAATTTGAAATAGGAAAAATTTACTAATTTTCATCGTATTACATCCCAACAAATTTAATAATGAGCTCTTAATATATGACATGCAGGTATGGTAAAAGAAGAACCATCAGTGCCTATTTCGTTAATTCAAGAGAGAATTAGTGGTCAATTTGGATATTCAATTTCATATAAGAAGGCATGGAAAGCAAAACAAAAAGCAATTGTTACTGTATTTGGTGATTGGGACGAATCTTATGCTGCATTGCTAAGGTGGCTAGAGTACATGCAATTACATGCTCCTGGATCTGTATACAAAATTGAAACAACTGATTATGTTGAAGGTCACACCGTGGATAATAGATATCGAGTTTTTTATCGGTTGTATTGGTCGTTCAAGCAATGTCATGAAGCTTTCAACTTTTGTAAGCCTATAATACAGATAGATGGAACATTTTTGTACAGTAAGTACCGACAAACTTTGCTAATTACTACGACTCAAGATGGAAACAACTGTGTGCTTCCCATTGCGTTTGCCATTGTCAAAGGAGAAACCTTATCTGCATGGGAATGGTTTTTAGCCATGATTCGTATACATGTGCAAATAAGGCAGGGCTATGTTTGATCTCAGATCGATATCAAAGTATAAAAGGTGCAGTCTCTAACCCACATCTAGGTTGGCAACCTCCAAATGCTTATCATGTTTATTGCATTCATCACATTGCAAGCAATTTCAATCGACGATTCAAAAATATCATGTTGAAGAAAAAACTAATTCAATTAGGTACGTGTTCTTCGTATTTGGTTCATTTAACCTTTAATATATCAAGAATATATTTAACCTATGCATTCAAATTTTTTCTGTTAAATGCAGGATATACACCATCAAAACATATTTTTGAATCTAAGCTTAATACGTTTCGATCACAATCACCTGAAATTCAGAGTTTGATAGATAATATATCCAAGGAAAAGTGGAGCTTGGCTTATGATGATGAAGGACGTCGTTATGGCCACATGACAACAAATTTGTCTGAGTCCGTAAATAAAATTTTGAAAGGGGCAAGAAACCTTCCTATTACTGCCTTGGTCAAAGTTATGTATGCACGATTAGTAGAATATTTTGTGAAGCGTGGTGAAACCGCAATGCATGAGGTTAACAATGGAGGAAAATACTGTCAAAAATTAATGGAAGCTATGGAAAAAAATCAACAAGAAGCATCTTCACATCAAGTTCGGCGGTATGACATACAAAGAACAAAGTTTGAGGTTGAAGAGGCATTTAATCCAGTGACACAAAGGGGTGGTCATAAGTGGACAGTCATATTGTCCACACGTTATTATCAATGCGGAAAATTTAAGGCATTCTGATATCCATGCTCACATGTCATAGCTGTTTGTGCTCATATGAGCATAGATTTTTGGCAATATGTGAATCCTGTTTATACTATACAGTATGTTATGAACGCATATTCATCTCAGTGGTGGCCTCTTGGAAATGAAAGTAATATTTTACATAATAATGAGTGGAAGTTAGTACCAGATGTGGAAAGAACACGAGGTAAAGGAAGACCAAAGGCTACCCGAATTAGGAATGAAATGAATTGGGTCGAGTCACAACCACGACAAAGATGTAGATTGTGTCGACAACATGGTCATAACCAACGTCATTGTCCTCAGCATAATGATTGTAATCAGCAGTAGATGATACAAGATGTTGTTTTTCAAGAAAGATTGTTGTTGTTAATGTACTAATGGTGTTTTCATGTACTTTGTTGGTAATGCTTATCATGGTGTATTGATGTACCTTGTTGTTAATGCTTATCATGGTGTTGTACTGTACTTTGTTGTTAATGTCAATAAGGGTGTAACACGTATTTCCTTGTTAATGTTTTAACTAACTTTGTACGATATAGGGTGAATTAGCAATATATGTTATATATAGATAATATGTTCCAGTAATGCAAATAAAAAGGGTGCAACATCAAGTTAGAACTTATACATTTTTTTACATCCATCTATACGAAGCCTTATTTGAATAGCAATGTTCTGAAGAGTTATAGTACATTCTCCAGGAGGCATGTGAAACGTATGAGTCTCTGGCCTCCATCTTTCTACCAATGCTGTAATAAGATGTAGGTCAATAGGAAAGCATGCCAACTGAGCTACCCCAGCAAATCCAGCTAAGGTCAGATGAGGAAGAATCTCCATTAGAACCCCTTCCATGCCAGCCGGTATGAAATGACTCTGTCTCACCTTCAGAATTGGGTGCTCACGTCCATCCCAAATATGTTCTGATACGTGAACATACTGAAACCTCAATAATGAACCATCCTCCGGCCCAGGATTTAAAACCCTACTCTGCGATGAAGATGATGTCATCTGAAATGAAATTTGTCAACTTAAACTTCAATTACGTATGTTAAAATTAATAATATCAAAAACTCTATTCAATTAGTACATGAGTTTTATTACAATTTCAAAATTTAAAAATAACTCTAAAATTTATTTCATTTAATTATTATATTGTTAAATTTTATTAACATTTTAAAAACTTTTACATTTTATTTTACAATTATAATATGTAGCAATAAATATAATTACATGCACTCTTTTAAATATCAAAATTTACAATTACAACAAATAAAAAAATACATTAATTTAAATATTATATATAATTTTTAATATACTTTTTTCTTTCTGTAATTCAACCACAAAATTATTATTTTCTTAATTTCATTAAAGTGTTCCCTCACAATACTTAAAGTTTACTCCTATTTAAAGTTTAATTTCATTTTTATATTAATTTTTCCAAATTTTTAACGATTCAATAATTATGCTGGACAAGAAATAAAATAAAAAAAAACATTGTTTCTAAAATTTTGTACAAGTTTTTATGTTAAAGGTTGGCAAAAAAAAATTTAAAGATGTTTTATTTTTTGGATTATAAGGAATATTAGTTTTGACAATAGTTCTCACAAGATATCAAGTAATATATAATATTTTTTTCTCTTAATTTATCAATTAATTAAAATAAAAATTCTTTAATATAATAATTAATACATATTATTGATTACATTTTTAAACAACTAATTATAAATAATAACACATATATTATGTAATTTGTAATAATAAAACTTCTGTTATGTTAATTTTCATAAAATTATTATTATCTTCATTTATTATAATTATTCAATAATTACATTGTGTTTACTATATCTAATATTTTTAATTTCACTAATTTTTTTATATATCAATGTACTATCAAATAATTAAAATATATTATTTCTTCTATATTAATTATTTAATATTTTCAGTGCATTCTATATATATTTTTTCATGTTCATGTTTTTTATTTTTTTCTAAATAATATATTTATATATATTATTCTTTCCTCTTAATTTATCAAGTTATTAAAATATTATTTTATTTCAAATTTTATAATTAATATATTTTATGGATTACTATAATTTTTTTTTACATTTCTGAACTACTAATTATAATAAATAATAACATATATATTATATATTTTCTAATATAATTTATCTAATATATTATTTGTGACAGAATAAAAAAATTAATTAATAAATTCTTTAAATATTAAAATAAAAAACTTGTACACCTCCGTAGCTTTGTAAACAAGTTTGAAGGAACCTTCTTCTTCACCAGCACCCTTCACTCACGAGCATCTACCCACAATTTCACCTGCATCACAGATTCAATATTACATACATTTGCAATTTTATTGTTAAAAAGCAAAATCTATTCAAAATATTAATCTCAATACCTTTTTAATAATCTTTTACTATAAAACCTTAATACCAGAATCTAATAAAATGGTTCAGAAACGCAAGAAAAGTTGTGTTATTTTTTTTCCGGCAACTACATTCTGCAAGCGAAACGGAGAAGATGGAGGAGAAGGGTGAAGCCCACGCCCAAACGGTCAAAATTCTCTGGCACGTGGACCAATTAAATTAGTGTCGTCCCTGACCAAGACGACACTACTGAATCATCCCGGACACGACCGACATTAAGGTCGCCTCTGACTCAGACGACTCTGTAGGATTTGTACACGTGGCTTTGTTCATCCACAGCCGTCCATTCAAATTAGTGTCGTCTGGTAATTGGACGTTTTTACTTTTTGGTGTCGTCTGTCTCATGAACGACTTTACTGTCACGTGTCCACACAACCCCAGACAGGAAATTTCTTTACATGCATGCTTATTCTGGCATTTTCTTTTCAAATTAACCCTAAAAGGGCAAAAAAGCCAAGGTAGGTCCATCCCTTCCACATCCCACATCATTTTCTGAAAAATTAAAAATTGGCAAGGGATCTGCAGCAAAAAGACAACTGAAACAGGAAGAACACCTTTGTTCGGAAAGGAGCCATGGCCCCCCTACGCCCAAATTTTTAACTTCTTTAACTTTATATGTAAAATCCTATATATGCAATAAAATAATCTTCAAACTTATTTAATTTCTGATCATTTATCATAAGTTTGCATATAAAGTTCCTATTGTCTTAAGATATGGAAAGGACGTTTCACATACAATGACATTCAGTCTAAATTAGAATTTTTTACACCAATTTAGTAATTTTATTCTAACATGTAAAATTCACGACTTCTAGAGATTAATAAAATTTTGAGGCTTAATTTACTGTCGTAATTTATTTTGTGTATAAAATTACCATACATAAAATAATTCTTGAAACTTTAAACTTATGAAATAAATTGTTATTATACATATAAAATTTAATAAATGACAAAAAATAGTTTTTTTTATTAGTATTTTGTGTATTAATCATTCAAATAAGAATTGTCTAACTCCGCGAAACAGCGGAGCAATTGTTGCGGGCTGGCCAAAGTAAATTCTGGGAAATGTTACTTTCATGTAAGTTTTCCTCACGTAACTCATACATACTTTATATTATCAGCATCTCTTTTGTCGTATCATTTTTTTGTATACATATAAATGACGCTAAGTTATATGAGTGTAAATTATAAGTAGAGTTACCATTGATTGCAGTTGCAGATAGATTGTAATGACTTTCCATATGATAGATAAGTAGAGTAGATATGTCTAGACTAATTACATTTTATTCAACGTCTTCACGTTGTAGGAAAAAATATATTTCTTATACTAACCGAGCAAAAATAACGTGTGTGCTAGACAAATTACAACCGACTAAGATATTTTTCTTTGGTGTGAATGTGTCTGTTTTTCTACCAAAGTACCGCATGTTCTTCCATCATGGGTGCGTGACAGATCTGTCCTACAAACTCTACAATAGTACAAACACACACGTAAAGCAGAGTTAGACTCCATGTTATTATTATGAATGAGCTGAAATGACATGGCAGTTACGTTTTCGATTAGAATTCCTAATCAGAACCTATAAATAGACTAATAAGATTCTGAATTAGGGAGAAAATTAGACACTTTGAGATTCTGAGACTTAGTAAAAATAAGAATCTTTGTTTTTACTTTCTCTCGAACTCTCATTTTTTTCTCATTCTTGCGCGGGTTAAGCGTTTCGATGGAACCTCTCGTTCAATCCGCAGAATTCAAACGCTATAATTTTGACTTGAGTTCTACTCTAATTGCTCTGAGTTTGTACTCTTTTTCTCTCTAATCTCAAAATTATTTATTGCGATCGTGATTGACTTTTTTGTTGTTAGATTTCAAATTAGGACTCGATTGATGCTTTAATTTAATAATTAATGCGAATTAGGTTAAATGATTATTTGTTTTAATTCGTAACTATATTCAATTAGGTTATTCGATTGAATTAATAATTGAATTGGGTGATTGTTCAAACGTGGATTTAAATCTTTAGATACTATAATAGTCGAAGTTACACGCAATTAGTATTCTATGAATTGATGTTTCTTAATTAATTTTAACTCACTTTAATTTTGTTCGTAATTTAATTTGATTAATTGCAATTTTCAAAACCCCAAAAAAGCTTATTTGTATTTTTTAAAAAAAACAAAACCTAAAATTGAATTTGACTGAGAATGTATCTCCGTGAATCGACTTAGGTTTGACTCTATACTACAAAACTTTTAGAAAACTTAGTTGTTTTGATAGTGACTCGGCATCGTCTATCAAATTGGCATCGTTGTCAGGGACGCATTGTTGGTTTTGATTCGTTTTAGGATTTAGTATTGCGTTTTCACTTTCTAATTCGTAATTTTATTTTCGTCTTTGTTTCATTTTTGTCTATGTTACCGCGATTTGATATTCTTATTTGTTAGTTATATAGAGTGTGTTTAATTTCAATTTTTGTCACTTTATTTTTGTTTCGTTAAATTTAACTGTTTTAGTGCATTTTAAATTTTGAAGTTTAGATTTTGAATTTTGAATTTTGAATTTTGAATTTTGAATTGTAGATTCAGATTTTATATTTTTAAATATTAGATTAATAACGTATTGTTGCATAATTGCGTTTCAATGTAGAAAGTAACATTGGGTTAAATATTGCAGAATTGTGTTTCAATGCAGATTTTATATTTTTAAATATTGGATTAAAGAGAAAAATAACATTGGGTTCTAAAGATTCAATGTAGAAAGTAGAGATATATTTATGGGTCATATACTATGTACATCAGTTAGATTAAACATTTGATATAAACTGTAACGTTTAAGAAGAAATAAGTTTCAATATTGATTAAGTAGAAAGCTAATGTAGAAAGTGGTGAGGTATTTAAAAAAATTTAAATTGTACATCTGGTGGAGGTGAGGACTGATGTGAAAAAAATATATAATGTATGAAATTCACTTTTTAAATCAGATGTCCATAATTGATTTTGATAGTCTTGGCTCTCAAATTAGATTTAGATTTATTTGTTTTATACGTGTGATGTAACATATTTTATGTTTATATTTAATGTTTTATTTTGATTAATAAACACTTTTCATATGCTCTATTTTTATATTTTTTACTATTTTCTACTTATTTGAATAAATTGGGCCTATTACAAATAAATGCTTTTATTTTGAATTTTCGATTATTCTGATCTCTTACTACTCTTTTGGCCATAACTTTTTCTACAGACATCATTTTTGACTGATTCTAGCTGCATTGGATTCTATATATTCAGGACTTCAAAATGCATATATAGATTGCTAGATTTGGAGTTTTTTTCTATTTTTTATGATTTTTTGAAGTTGAAACAGATTTGCTGAATCTTATTGCGAGATTGCATTTGAACCCTTGTTATTTAATAATTGTATTTGGGCTTTTAGATATTATTAAGGCCCGCATTTTGGCCACTTAATTTACCCAAATCAAAACTTATAAATAGACTAATAAGGTTCTGAATTGGGAAAGGAGAGTGATTAGACACTTTGAGCTTTTGAGACTTGGCCAAAATAAGAATCATTGCTTTTACTTTCTCTCGAACTCTCTCGTTCTTTTCTCATTCTTGTGTGAGTTAAGTATTTCGATGGAATGCTAAACCTCTTGTTCAATCTGCGGAATCCAAATGTTGTAGTTCTGACTTGGGTTCTGTGCTAATTGCTTCGAGTTTGTTATCTTTTTCTCTCTAATCTCAGAATTATTTATTGCAATCGTGATTGACTTTTCTGTTGTTAGATTTTAAATTAGGACTTGATTGATGCTCTAATTTGATAATTAGTGCGAATTAGGTTAAATAATTATTTGATTTAATTCGTAACTCTATTTAATTAGGTTATTCGATTAAATTAATAATTGAATTGGGTGATTGTTCAAACGTGGATTTAAATCTTTAGATACTGTGATAGTCAAAGTTACACGCAATTGGTATTCTGTGGATTGATATTTCTTAATTCATTTTTTACTCACTTTAATTCTATTCGTAATTTAATTTGATTAATTGCAATTTTCAAAACCCCCAAAACCTTATTTGCATTTTTTAAAAGAAAATCTAAAATTGAATTTGACTGAAAATGTGTCTCTGTGAATCGACCTAGGTTTGGCTCTATACTACAAAATCTTTAGAAAACTTAGTTATTTTGATAGCAGCTCGGAAATCGTCTATCAATGTGCATGGTGTTTCAGCTGACATGTAATTGAAAGAAGTCGCTCACAACCGTCTACCTTCCTGACAGTTATTGCACTTCATGTAAAAAAAGCAGAAAGAGGAATACTGAACGTGGACATTTGTGGTTGACCTTTGAATCCCATATTTGAGGGTTTTACTGTAAAGAAGATCAATGACGAATAATTTGAAGAAAAGTGCAACTAAAGGTTAATTTGTTCTTCATTTTACGGAGGACCAAAGTCTAGGTTTTTATAAAAGTTTGTGTGAAGTTGGTTTGTATTGTATAAATCTCATTGTGCATATAAGTATTGGGATGGTTTTGTTACATATGTTAACATATATTAGGTTTAATTTGATGGGCTCTTTGCAAAATGTATGATATGTTGTATAGGCAAAGTACTGATTATCACCATAATTGTTAAGTTCATGTATTGGTGGGATTGAACCTCGTATGAGATGTGTATGTTTGTGGGCTTTATTACAAGTGTAAAAGTAGGATGAGGGTTGTTGGTTTATGTAGTGACGGCAATCATACCTTCACATTGGTTTACTTATATTATTATCGTTAATTGTGAATGTTTAATGTAATTAATCATGTGTATTGAAGTAATATTTACTTACCTTGTGTGCAGTGTATTTTAATGGCATCTACCCTAAACCCAAATCACTATAGTTTTATTTGTCATTTCATTCGGGAGAGGTTATTTAGTTAGTTAAAAGTAATGAATAGTGTAGATTTTAAATGTTACAATATGAAAATAAAGGTATTTGACTAGTTTGTAATATAAATTTTGGTTATAGCATTTGCCAAAAATTCCAGCCATTTTTTTCTAGATCATGGTTTAATGAGATTCCTCAAATTATTTGTCTGCATGACCTAGTTGGTACAACTATAAGAGTAGATGTAACAAGAGTTGAAACAAAATCGTGGCTTAGCCATGGATGGGAAACATTGGGCAAAGTATATGATTTAAAGAACAAGGGTTGGTTGAAATTTTATTATACAGGAGGAGAGTACTTTTAGATGAGAGTGTATGATAGCTTCCTAATTGAAATAGATTCTCCAAAACAAAAAATATTTTATGAAACTCCATCTTAATGTATAGAGGAAGCACAAATGGTGCTTTTGGTGATATTTTGGTTCATGAAATTGAGAACAACAGGTTCCATTTTTCATTTCAGAAATGTGTTTCTGTATTTCAGCGCAACAACTTCTTTGTAAGTTGTTTGTGTTAGTTTGGAAAATGTTTTAGCATGAACAAATTGGACATGTTAATGTTATTATATTGAGGAATAGCTAAATTTATTGTGGACAGCTTTTGCTAACCAATTTCTGTTATGAAGTTTTGGCTCAGAAGCCATCATTGGGCATTTCAACTTGCTATTTCCTCGTCAACATTGCATTCCTTTACAACAACCTGTAACATATATAAATAATACACATGTTTACTGGAATATAACAACTATGGTTATTCACTGAAATACACAGAGCCTTCACAAACCTCTTTGTTTCCATCCTCATTTCCAGGCAAATTCATGTTCAACTTTCTCTTATAATAGGTATTTTTCACCTTTCCCAATCCCTTCGTCATCCTAGTCTCCTTTATCTTTGCACTGCAAATTCTTGTTAGCCTTTGTCTTTAACTAAGTATTTCACCCCTTCTGACCAAAAACCCTACCACTTTGTTACCTCTCTCACCAAGGCTTCGTTTTCTGCTAATTCAATTTCTTTCTATTCTCACATATCTCATACCCTATAATTCAACACTGGAATTGACCATAATGTCCTTTCAATCAAGGACGGCATTGGCTTCTTACCATCTTACTAAATGACTTGTTTTTGGTAAATACAATTCAACCAGTGTATAATAATATAATATGCCACACAATTAAATCGATTTTGTAGGTCACCAATGTAAAAACAATACAAAATGGATAGTTTCTACAACAGTTCAATTATTAACAAATGTTAAATTGTCGCCATGGTTTACCAAATGTGTCATGGTTATTTACATCGGTTGTGTGCTGAACTGATGTCATAATACGACCACCTTTTACATATTGCGTATACAGTTTATTTGCATTGGTTGTGTGCTAAAGTGATGTCATAAAATGGGCACTTTTTACAATTAGCTCATAAACATATATGCATCGGATGTATGATAATAAGTTGTTAATGCCCTTTCAGAACAAAAAGTATTAGTTTTACGTTGTTACCCCTCTTCATCTGCCTCACTCATAACTTCTCTCAGCATTTGTTAACCTTTTCAATCTTTATTCTTAGTCATCTATTTTTAAACTACTCTGATCAATGTCTCAATTATGAGTCGCTTATGGGAAAGCAATGCTTTCAAACCAATACACTTATTACAAAAGAAGGGAAAATATTAGAATTACCAAAAAAAAAAAAAAAATCATTTTAGAGAAGTGCACATAATTCCTCACAAAGCAAGACATTCAACGAGGCAATGAGCTTGGCCTACTTCTGGGCACAGCACCAAAACAAAACAAGAAAACTTCATTTCAAGAATCTTCAGTTGCGTAAAGACACCGAGAGGGGAAGCTTATGTCAATGGGATGCTGCTATAATATTGCTAAGTAACACTTTGATTGGACCCCGAGCGGACATGAATTTACATTTTATTCAAATATTGTAGTATTAACTTTAATAGTTTTATTATCTTATGATTAATTTTTATTTAATTAAGAATTAAAATGTAATACAAATATAGTGTTGTCTTTCTCATCATTTAAGAACATATTTAACGCTTCATTTATATCAAGTTAATGTCAATATTAAAATATTGAGTCTATGTTCTTTTCTTTCATCAACGACAAAATCACCGTAATTTCAACATTTAAATAATATGTTTTGAATATTATTTAATAATAACAAATTAATAAAACTAAAATAATATGAGCTATATCTTTATTGTTGTTATTAAAATTTAAAATTAAATACAATTTTGTAGGAATTATTTGAAACTAAAGTATATTTAAGTCTTTGTGAAATTATTTCTATATTTAGACAAACCCTTCAAGTTGCTAGCTGCCTTAATTTTCACTTTGAAATATTCCATACAATTTTGCTTAAAATTAAATTCATACATTCCGTGGATGTTTCAATCTTCAGAATAAAGAGATTAACTGAGAAGACATTTTTTTTTTTAGTGCAACATTCAAGAATCAAGACAATAATAGATAACTATGTATTTATAATTATTTACGGTAACTTTATTTTTCAGTAAAACAAATAAATTTAAAAGTAGTATGTGATTGAATTTTATATATTCTTAATAGTATGTTTTTAATAAAATTAGTGATGTGAATGAGTAATTTTTAAATAAAATAAAAAATAGAAAAGAAGAAGAAGAATGATGAAGAAATATTAAAAGTAAATAAAAAGATTAAATAATAATTAAATTGAAAGTACATTGCAAGTAAAAGAATATACAAGTTTCAACTGAAATAGGATATTGTTAACCTCTTTCAATTAGGTCTAACATGCGTAGAATGTTGTCAATTGTCGATATATTAAATTCAAGTTTCTAAGTGAAATGTCCAAAGCGTTCCCAATTGTCAATTACTAAATTCAAGAGTCTAAGTGAAGAAGTCGTAACCTTAATCATATCGTCTAAAATTCTATTTATAGATAAGTCCAATAATTGCTTAAAAGGGTAAGTGTCTTATATGAATTGTTATGTTTTAAATATGATGTTTGTATTGTTCTAATTCGTTGTTCATATTTTATTATTATAGAGAAAATTTTCTATTTGTCCACCAGACAACATGTGAGATGCAGTATTATTGAAAAATTCTCTTAACAAGATCCGTGCTAGTATGAATAAACCAAATTGTTTATAAAATCATGTTTTTGATACACTATATGAATACTAGAGAAGTAAACAAATTTAAAAAAAAAAACACACACACACAAGCAAAAACAAACCGAAGTATCTAACTATGGAGGATTTGAAGGGTCACTCCACACTGTAGTTCTAATACCACTTCTAAACAAAGAGCTAATTTGGTTAAGTTTTATCTTTGTACTTTTAAACTTTATTATAACATTTATTTTGTATCATACAATCATTTGTAATTTATGTCTATACACACTTTGTATTAATATGTGTTATTGCATTTGTCTTAGACAAAGTTAACTGAAAATGCTCCTATTCCATCATAGTTATTTCATCATACACACCAACATAAGAAGGATAAGACCTAGGTGAATAAAAAAGTTGCACATATAAACGTCAGTTACACTTTTATGTAATTTTTCAATGTTTATTGTATGCTTTTAAGCTTATTATCTTATACTATTATTTTCAAACAGACAGAATTTACACGCATGTGATAGGAAGCAACACAAATATCATCTTTTTAAGGAACCCCTCCACCGAGTAAGTTAGAGGTGTGATGTGAGGTAGCTGGAACATAAAAAAGGAAGAGTATATGGCCTTGGATTGGAGTCCAGTGTGGTAGCTAGGAGACATTTTTATCATGGTTCAAGTACTTCATCATTCGAGTATGAAGAGAGGAACTTCAAGAATTAAAAAAAATTTAGAAGAAGTTCAAAATGAAAGGGATTACCTTCGTACTAAGGTAGCAAATATTGAGATAAATATTCAATTGATAACTAATTGTTACGAAAAATGATGGAAAAGATGGACTTCCAACCTTCTAATTTAGAATAATGCAACTTATTTGTAAAGAAGCAATAAATGAGGAGTCAGAATAAAATATTTAATGTTTGTTACCTTATATTATTATTTCTTTTTCTAGTGTGTGTTGAGTTAGAGACTTATGTATTGTGTATTGTGTATGTAATGATAGACTAATAATTTGTATTGTGTTTTAAAGACTTATGTATAATTATGTATGGAATTAGAGACTTATATAACGTGTATTGTGTATGCTAAAAGATGTCCATCATATTTAAAGGTTATTGTTATTACTGATTATGTATATGTGTCTGCGAGCTGCTGAATCAGTCTCTACAATCTGTCATCAAGACCGATCACATAATTCATCTCAAAATTGGTCACAAAATTTGTTTCTAAAATAGTTACTAAAATTGGTTTCAAGGAAAATTTAGTCACTAATTCAGTCTCTAGAATTAATAATTAATTAAATCTCTAAAATTAGTCACTAATTCAGTTTCTAAAGTCGATCACTAAATCAATCTTTAAAGTTAGTTACTAAATTAATCTCTAAAGTCAGTCACTAAATCAGTTTCTAAAATCGGTCATTAAATCCATTACTAAAGTCAATCACTAATTTAGTCTTTAAAATCTAATTCAGTGACTAAAGTCGGTCACTATTTCAGTTTCTAAATTCTGTCACTAACACAGTCTCTAAAATCAATTATTAATTCAATCTTTAAATTTGGTGTCTAAATTATTAGTCACTAAATCCATCATTAACCATTAACCACCATATATTTAGCAACTTAACAATATCAGTCAGAAAATCAATTACTACTTAGTTTAGCAACCGAAATTTTTTATTAATGACTAAAAAATCAGTGACAAATAATTATTTTTCTTGTAGTAAAACACTTTTTGTAACCGTTATTACTACATTATCTTTGCCACATGTTTTTACCTGTAATCATTAATATCCACTATCAATGTATTAAATTTTTTATATAAATCTTCCAATTTTTTTGAAATCTTTGTACTTGAAATACTTCACCTTCAAAAATAGTTTGAATTAATTTTTTTAAGAAATATTCTTTAACTTATTTTTCACTACATTTGTTGATGATTGCAATATTTTTTGAAAATACATAAAAAAAATCTCTTCAATCACTTTGATGATATAATACTTTACAACTTGTAAGAAGTCATGAGTTTGCAAGAAAACTCATCAAAATATCATCTTCTCTTCAACTAGAAATTCAATGTTTTTTTATCATAATTAGCTCAAAAAAATTTGTCAAAATGTCTCTTTGCATTCTTTTTTAGCAAAAACTCACTTTTCACCGCAACTTTTTAAGAAACTTGTGAAAAAAGAATGCTCAGAATTCCATCATCATCCGGGCCATAAAAGTGAAACTTTAATAATAAATTTTTTTTACCTTAACTTCAAATAAAAGACTCATTTCAACGAAATATATTTTTTAAGAAGAATAAATCTGATGCCTAAGATTTTTTTTTTAAGTAAAAATAGCTAACAAACATTGGTCAAGGTAAAAAAAATCATTTTTTTAAGAAAAATTATATATCTTGGAGAATTTTATTTTTCCTAAACACTATGTTAGAGATGGGATTAAAAAATTTGCATAGATGATCAATTGAATTGATGTAATGAACTATTGAGTTAATAGTTTAATTGATTAAGTATTGATTAAATTACATGTGTATATATATATATAATACAAAGTAAATTAAGCATAGCAATAGCAAGTTAGTTACATATTTTTTTAATAAACTCTTGTTGTCTAAAAAATTCATATTATACGTACATCTACTGATAAAAACTTTATAATATGGAGATTACTTTGTGAATTCTTTATAAACATTTTAAAATACATCTAATATGTATTCGTTAATAGAACAATATTCTTATTTACAAACGATTCATTTGTGAATTAACGTGAAAATAAAAGTACCTACGCAGCATAAATTACGCTTGAAAAAAATTAAAATGGAAGTTTAATTTTCGTAGCGATGGATTTGACATTGTAGTGCACGGGAAAACAAATTAAAGAAATGACATCTGAATTTACAAAGATATATTGTACGCGTGGCCTTCCGCCGCTTTCCTTTTTCCTAATTTTTTTTATAATAGGAAAATGAAAAAACAAAAATCAAAACACCTTATCAGCTATTTATGTTTTTTAATTTTAAAAATTAATTATTTTAAAAACTTAGGTTGACAAATAAATTTTAATTATTTTTTATTTTTAAAAAGAAAAATATATTTATAAAATGAAACAATCTCTTATGTTGTTAGCAGTTTTTTTTTTATTGTTTTGGGGTTTGAAATATTTGTTATTGCCATTTGAGAAAAAGCTAACGTAGTTAATTATTAGGAGATGCTATTTAAGGGAAAGCTATTTTAATTTGTTATTTAATAATTATAAAAATAAAAATATGATATTTTTTACATATTTATTATAATATAGTTTTCCAAAAAATGTTAATAGCAATTTATAGAGAAACAAAACTACAGTAGCATGCTCTGGAGTTTCAGGTGACCCAAACTTTTAAAAAGACACCAATGACAATTTTTGAAGCAACAATACTAAGTTAAATATCGTTAAGATTTCAGGTGTTCAAATTAGACCTGAGTAACAACCGAAAGCCCGCCTAAATCTAAGTTGACTGAAAGTCAAAGAATACTAATTGAGTAGGTTGGATTGGGTACGAGTTAAGTTGGATTTTATTTTTTGACTAAATAGGATTAATTTGATCATAAATGAGTTGTTATTTATGTAATTGACTAAATTTGTTCCATCTCAACCGAACAAAATCATTAATCACTCAAAGAACTCATTATAATTTATCTTTTTTTTTTTTTTCTTCCATTCTCACATTCTTTTTGCTCAACCAATATCTGAAGATCACACTCAACTTTGAACCAATTTTTCAAACCCATTAAATATGCTAACTTTACTAATTTTTTATCTATCCACGAGCTTATTTATCATTCTTTACTCAAAATATACTTCAAAGTTGGGTATTTGGACAATACCTATTTGATTTTTTGGTGAGAAAGATGAAGGGTCGTGGCCAATGTCGAAGGAGAAAGAAAACAACAAGTGAAGAAGAACCATTGCACTTAGTTCTCCTTCCTGGACTCCTCTTCTTCCCTATTTACTCTTTTAATTTTCTATTTTTTATTTTTCAATGTATTTTTGTGTCTCTGCATTGCTTAAGCACAATGTATTTTTGTGCTTCTTCACTACTTGCTTGAGCTCTCCACAAAAAGAGAACAAAGATAAATATGATCAAGAGTTACAAATTAATCAAACCCACCTAATCTATGCACATAAATATTCAAACCAAAATCTTGAGTTACTCGATAACTTGATTGTCGAAATTGGCTAAAAATTTAAAATAATTGATTTACTTTGGTTTTGAATTTTACCAACCAAATTCGACCATTACCCACCCATAACTCATATATTGTTCAAAAAATGTCAATGACGATTCTTACCTAGGTCAACAAATCTTTACAGCAATTGTCACGTTGCTGCTGAGCTTTGTAAAATTACTAATAGCGAGTTTTGACCATAGCATGTCTTTGCATGGAGGTTAAACATGGAATAGATAAAGGTAAAAAACCCAAAATCGCTGGGTGAGAGAAAATAGGATAACTATAAAAAAGAAAAAAAAACACAAAATAAAATTACACATTATATGAAATATATAAACATGTTAGTTTTGCATGTAAATGTCAAGCCTTTACTTGTATTTATTATAATCTTACCATTGAAATAAATGGACCAAAAATTGTTATTGACAACTTTTAAAAAATAAAAAACTTTTCTAACAGTCAAAGGTTGTGAATACTATTTTTTTTTTATATTTTTAACTTTTTTTTTCAAAAACTCACCAATAAAGATTTTGTTTAAATTATTATTTTTATCATCCTAAAATTGTCAATAACAACTTTTACATAAAAATATTATATTTTGATAATTTCATAAAAAAATGACTTTACTGTTGTACTTGAAACTAAAATATAGTAAAGGCATAGTAAAATGTGTTTACATTGTTAAAAGTATATTTATAATTTTTTTTATTAACTTTTAAAATTTAATTAAATCTTAATTTTAATATGTTATCAAAGTTTATTTATTTTGAATATTAGATAACATATAAATATTTATTTTTGCAAACTTCACACGATAAATATTCAATCTTAAACGTGAAGAAAGTATTACAATTTTTCATACCAGTTAAAGATGTAACTAAATTATTTTTTTTTACAAAATTTAAACAATAATGTTTAAAAACGAGTTAAAATGCTAAAAAAAATTAAACCTAATTTTTAAAGTGATATGTTCAAAATCGCATTTAAATATCCATAAAATTACGTTAACACAAAATTATAATTAATAATATGAAATTAAACATAAATTTGTGGCGGATCAAATTGAATATAAACATATGCTACTAAAAAATTCCCAAATGTGTGCTGGGGGAGTAAATGTAAGCTAAAAGATATGGTTCTCCTTTATCTCAGTTAAAAAAATAATTTGGAATTATAAATATATTTAAATAAAATTGTATATTTAAATTTAATTATATTTTAACCATTTAAAATTAAATAGATTATTAAAATCCTTTTAGCTTGTAGGTGAAGCATGACCCTTCTCACTCTAATGAGTGCAGATTTTGTAAGATGGTCCGTGACGAAGGTGAATATAATTCAGTGAAATTAACAATTTTGAAATAAATGAAAGAAGAGTAATCTATTATATCTATGAGATGCAACGTTCTACCTAAGTATGATGTGACCTTAAGCCACCAATTTCACATCATGCACAAATTCATGCTTCCTAAAGTTAAGGATTACCAATGGCCGCGATTTGGAACCCTAAAAGCGCACAAAACCTCACATGCAATGGGTTATTTCGTGGTCCTGACGTCAAATTAATTATTAAATTTGTTTGTTTCAATTTGTATAATGGCTTTTATTTAAATAATATAATTTTAAAAATTATTTCTGAAAATAAAGTCAATTAAAAATTATTTGTTTTTCAGAGCATTTTTTGTCAAATTAGTAGATACATTAAATTTTATAATACTATATTTTTTTTATTTTCTAAACTGGTATCACACATATATCTACATATATATTTACTTTAATAATGACACGTATCAAATGTTAAACGGGTATCTAGTCTTTATAATAATAGTGTTATTTTTATTTTTCAGCGACGCCGTTATTTACGTGTTAAGTATAATACTCCATGAAATATTGAGACGTGGTATTAATTTAAAATTATTTAAAATTATAAATTTAAAAATACTTAAGATTTAAATTTAAAAACATTTAAAATATAATTTAAAAAATTAAATTATGAATTTAAAAAATATTTAAAATTATAAATAAAAAATAATTAAGATTATTTTTAGATTAATTAATACTAAAATTTTATATTTTTAATATAAAAATATTTTAATAAATAAAATATTTTCTTTTATTTCTTGCTTAAACTTTGCGTTGCGTTAACTGTAATTAAACTCGAGACTGAACTTTCTATAATCTCAATTACTCATACTACAAGTATTGATTATGTAAATGAAACAATAGAAAAGAAGATAAAAACGTAATTTAACTTTGGCGAAGAGTGAGTTTTGAAATACCCATTTGTATATAATATATATATATATATATATAAACAAGGTTATTTGAAAATAAAATTAAAAGTTTTTTTAAATAATTTAGTAAATTGAAAAGCTAAATAAAGTTGAAATCAAATTAAAAATAAAAAATTAATTATAAAAGATTCTTAATTAATATTTTTTCTATTTTAATAATATTTACATTCACTGAATGCTTTAAAAAAATTAATCAATCCAACAATTGTCTTCCAAGCATGATATTTTTGTCGAGGACAAAATGACTTTTCACTTTGGGGCGAAGGGACATTGCAAAATTGGCATGGTGGACTTTCTTTTGGAGGCGCGTGTCTCGAATATGCCATTGGCATAGACGAGGGAAGGTGCGAGAGAAAGCATTATTATTATTAGCAGTAGTATTATTATGATATGATTATTAAGGAGGGAAGGAGAATGATTGAGCATGATGAGCAATGGATTTGAAACGTCCTCCTTAATGCAGTTTGGACCAACCAATTCCGCCTACTATATATAACCAAAACAATTCACGCCATTTTTACATAAAACTTGCAGAAAAACCCGTTACACCATCCTCCCCTGTAATTCTCCCTTCACGGCGGCGCCACCAAGCATGTAGAACATGCTGACACATCCCCACCGCCCGGACCCAGACCCTCCTGGGCGCCATCCACAACGCTTCCATTTCAAAATAGGGAAATGTTGATAAGATTCCAATGACAAACAAAACCCCTATTTTGGCATCGAAAACGTAACCTTGGAACTTGTTTAATTATCTCTGGTCCTGTTGTTGTGTTTTGGGGGCAGAGGTAACTATCACCGACCGTAACCATGTCGAGCATCGTCAAGGAGATCCTTGCGGGGCCAATACAGATGGCGGACCAGGTGTCAAAAATGGCGGAAGAGGCACAGAATTTCAGACAGGAATGTCTGGAACTCAAGGGCAAAACAGAGAAGCTGGCGGGCCTCCTCCGCCAAGCCGCAAGAAACAGCAACGACCTCTACGAACGCCCCACCAGGCGCATCATAGACGACACCGAACAAGTACTTGACAAAGCCCTCGTACTCGTCACCAAATGTCGCGCCAACAGCCTCGTCAAACGACTCTTCACCATTATCCCCGCCACCGCCTTTCGCAAAACCTCCATGCAGCTCGAGAATTCCCTCGGCGACGTCCAATGGCTTTTAAGAGTCTCTGCTTCTGCAGACGAACGCGACGACGAATATTTGGGTCTGCCTCCTATCGCTGCCAACGAACCCATTCTCTGCCTCATTTGGGAACAGATTGCGATTCTTCTTTCTGGGTGTTCCTTGGAGGAACGTTCTGACGCTGCTGCTTCATTGGTTTCTCTCGCTCGTGATAACGACCGTTACGGTAGACTCATTCTGGAGGAAGGTGGGGTTCCGCCGCTTCTTAAATTGCTCAAGGAAGGCAAGACGGAGGGTCAAGAAAACGCGGCCAGGGCAATTGGGTTGCTGGGAAAGGACCCAGAAAGCGTGGAGCACATTGTGAATGCTGGGGTTTGCAATGTGTTTGCGAAAATCCTCAAAGAAGGCTCCATGAAAATTCAGATTGTGGTTGCATGGGCTATTTCGGAGCTGGCTTCGCATCACCCCAAATGTCAGGATCACTTTTCTCAAAACAACGTTATACGTTTGCTGGTTGGCCACCTCGCGTTTGAGACCATTCAAGAGCATAGCAAGTACGCTATTGCCACCAAACAGAACAACATGTCGTCTATTCATTCCGTTGTGATGGCAAGCAGCGCCCCCAATAAGAAAACCGTTCAAGATAACGATGATAAACAGGGTATTGCTCATCCAATGGGGAACCAAACGAGTTCCCAGATGCACAATGTGGTCACCAACACAATGGCTATAAGGGGACAGGGACAGGGACATGAACAGGGAAATAATGGCAAACCAAAACATGGGAATTCCTCGCATGTCTCAATAACTGGAACTAGCATCAAGGGGAGGGAATACGAAGATCCAGCAACAAAGGCCCAGATGAAGGCCATGGCAGCTAGGTCCCTCTGGCAACTGTGTAAGGGAAACCTCACTATCTGTCGGAACATAACAGAATCAAGAGCTCTTCTTTGCTTTGCTGTTTTAATGGACAAGGGTTGTGAAGAAGTGCAATCCTATTCGGCAATGGCATTGATGGAAATCACGGCACTGGCAGAGCAACACTCGGAACTTAGACGCTCAGCGTTCAAGCCAACTTCCCCTGCTGCCAAAGCCGTTATGGAGCAGTTTCTGAAGATCATTGAGAAGGGTGAGTCTGATTTGCTCATTCCATGTGTGAGAGCTGTTGGGAACTTGGCAAGGACTTTCAGAGCCACCGAAACAAGATTAATTGCCCCTTTGGTGAGGTTACTGGACGAAAGAGAACCGGAAGTTTTGATGGAAGCAGCAATTGCACTCAACAAGTTTGCTTGTAACGAAAACTATCTCCACGAGACTCATTGCAACGCCATCATAGAAGCAGGTGGTGCAAAGCATTTGATTCAGCTAGTGTATTTCGGAGAGCAAATGGTGCAAATCCCTTCTATGACTCTTCTGTGTCACGTGGCGCTGAACGTGCCCAAGAACGAGACTCTTGCGCAAGAAGAGGTTCTGATTGTACTTGAGTGGGGCACGAAGCAAGCTCATCTAGTTGGAGAACCATCGATTGCAGCGCTACTACCAGAAGCCAAAAGTAGGTTGGAACTCTATCAATCAAGAGGTACCAGGGGATTCCACTGATTCATCGACGTATCCGCACAACACCGAAATCCTTAACTCTTGTCATTTTTGTCGTAGGGGGTTTTGTTTTGCTTTTGACACGCTTGGACGAGTGTAGTGTACATAGGTTACTAATCCATTAGCAAATGCTTTCTTCTTGTCCAAAATCTCTTGTTTTGGTGTCCAAATGTCTGCAACTGCAAGTTTTATGCGCAACACCCAATTAAAATTAATACCTCTTATATTCTCCCAATACTTTATCTTACATTCAAGTTTTTTATTTCTTTTTTCCCTGTTTCTCACTTTCCTTAACTTGAACAGTAAAATATATATATAAAAAAAACATGTATGATATTACCTGTTTTACAATTAAAAATAATTTTTCATAAAAATAAAAATTTTAACAAATGAATGGTTCACATTAATTTATATACATATTTAATCATATTTAACGATTCCAGATTAACAAAGGAATGATTCATATTTAATTTATATATAAATGTGTGAAAGAGTGAGTGAAAAAATGAAAATTAAAGAAAATATTTGGTAGAATATTAATTTTATTTTTTAATTAATGCCGTTATTTAATTTGTTCTGGCAAAGGTACCCTTTATATATTTTATTAATTTGTAACTCCCAATTATTATAGTTGGTTTGATGTGATCGAAAGAGAAAATAAAGGTTTGTTGGAATATATATATTGAGGGTCAGTGTCACAGTGATTGCATCATGAGCGGCCTTTGGGAAGTAAGGAGGCTTGGGTTGTGCACGTTGAAATCTAGGAGGGAATGGTTTGTGTAATTTTTGAGAGAGCTCCATTTTGCATTTTTTTTTAACACTCTTATTAAAAAAATTATAATTTTTTTTATCGAAAACATTTTTTATGATGACTCTAAAAGAATACCTTTGCAAATTTATTTCTGTATTCTCAAAAATTAATTTAAAAATTTATTTTTAAAAATTTTTAGAAATAGTTAATGATTATATAAACTACTTTTTAAAAATATAAAAACTTAATTTTAGAAATTGATTTTCGTAAGTGCAGAATCCTAATTTCAAAAGCTTGTTTTTAGAAATATTTAATAATTATGGTAATTAGTTTTCGAAAGTATAGAAACTCAATTTCTAAAATTAATTTTTAAAAGTGTAAAACTTAATTTTAAAAATTTATTTTTGGAAATGTAAAATTTAATTTTAAAAATTTATTTTTATAAATAGTTAATAATTCTGGAAATTGATTTTTAAAAGTGTAAAAACTTAATTTTGAAAATCAAGTTCAAAAGTGTAAAATCTTAATTTTAAAAAATTATTTTAGAAATAATTAATAATTTATTTTTAAAAGGTTAAAAACTTAATTTTTATGTTAATTTTTAAAAGCACATGATTCTAATTCCAGAATTTTTTTTTGAAAGACTAATCACATTAATAGGTCAACAGAAGCTAATAAAAATATCATTTTTCACGTTCAAAATAATAAAAATACTTAAAGAGTAATGATACTTGAGATACGTTCAATGAAGAGGGTGAGAAAGAACCATAAAAATTTAAACAATAAATAAAAAAATACAATGCAGGAGTGACTTTCTAAAAAGAGAAAACAATTTTAAATTTTTTAAAATAAAAATAAAAATTATTCTTAAATTTATTTTAAGGAAAAATTATAAACAAAATTAATTAAGTATAAAACGAAAAAATAAAGGTGCAGAAAACAATTCCAATTTTTAACGGAAGTAAAATTAAGTGCAAGAAATTGTTGTAGTCCTTCTCTTTAAAAATATTAAATTAAACATAAAAATAATATGATTTTAAATGCGGTTGTTTCATTTTTTTTTTCATGGAACTGAAGGTTAATTTAAAAAAAATGCTTTTAATATGATTGTTTAATTTTTTAAAAAAAATAAATTTTTATTCAATTGTTTTTAAAATTTTGTTTAAAAATGAAACTATAACTTGTTTTGTAAAATAAAAGTTGTTTTCATAATTAGAAAACAGATAAAATATAACTTCTATATTTCATAATTTTTTATAACAAATTCAATTTTTAATATATTGTTGAAAAAGAAAATTGAGGTTTAAAAAGAAAAAGAACTTTGTAACGGACGGAATATAAATCCAATTCCCCTGAAAACATTAAAAAAAAATGATATACAAGTACGGCAATTTAAAACAAATATAAATAGCTCGTGGATAGAGTTTTAAAATGAAGAGTATTGAAAAACAATGTCACGTAGAAGTATTTAAAAAAATGATTATAATAAAGTTGCCTAATGTTTACACTTTTTGACGTGTAATGTAATTACTTTTTAAAACTAGTATTATGCTTGATTACTTATTTTTATTACTAAATTTCTTATACTGATATAAATATATTCCATTATTTATACTAATTCGTATGTGATTAATATTATAATATATGCGTAAATAACTAACTATATATAGAGGGATATAGATTTGGGTAGACAAAAAGATAAAGATAAGGCAAAACGATGAAAAAAGATAGGGAAATAATCACTTTATCCGTAGGAGTGGGAATGGCTGAACAAATATAAATAGCCTAAATCAGCATCTAAAATCTAAAACCAACGTGAGTTCCTTCTCTGTGTTCACGAATGGTTATTCTCTTCTCTCCTTTTCCAACTCAAATACATAACTGTGCCTCCCTAATCGTGCCCAATGTGTCGTTGTGCAACGGGCTGGTGGCCGCTGTTTTTGTCAGGGTGTTTGTTGATTGCTGCTTTAACTACGTTTGACTATGCATCACCTGGATTTTTCATTTTCTTGGGTTGCATGTTGGCATTGATCGTATGGTATTGGGCAAATTTTCTTCTATTAAATCATGGAGAGCAGCACCAGTTACCCGAGAATGAGATAAGAGAATCTCAGAACACAAGGACGAGAGATATTGAATCTGAGTTTACATATAATTCTTTATCCATGATCGGGTCTCGCTTTATGATCAGCAGAGTAATGGCTCCAAGGCAACAACACTATCGGCAAGAAGCACGATTTTTTCCTTTTGCCCCCAAAGCACATATTGCTAGATTAGCCATGAGAGCCTTGCCTCCTACGAAAAGTTTCAATCTAGGTGAGGACAAAACCACTGAATCAGAACGTGATTGTGCCATTTGCATGGAGGAATTTAAGATCGGCGAATTGATTCAACCCTTTGGAGTCTGTGTCCATGAGTTTCATTCCTCTTGTGTTAACTCTTGGTTACACTCTGGAAAAACTACTTGTCCTATTTGCCGTGAGGAATTGTCAATTGCTATCCACTAGAGGCACACACAGTGAGATCATGTTTTTTGTTTATACTTTTTTTAATTAGTGAAAGACAATGTTTTCTGTTTATACTTTTTAAATTAGTGAAAGACAAGGTAGAATTTAGTGAAACTTTTTGTGTTTATGCTGCGTATGTGACATGGTTATTATTCCCTAACTTGTTGGCATAAACAGTTCGTATGATGTTTAACAGTATGATCCAAATCGTCCTTTGTTAAAGGATCTGATAACAGTTGTGTTTCACGTCAGATAGATGTGTGATGTTTGGCTTATGGTCATGAGGAAACAATGTTGCCACGTTTAGTTCAATTTATTTTGAACAGAATATTATTATATAATACAAAAAAAAAATTGGAACGAATCATTGGGTGGTCTTGAGTAATGAGTCAAGGAATAAACGGTATGTAAATGTAGGCGGAAATCACGTCATTTATTTCGCTTTCAGTTTTCGAAAAATTGTTGTTTTTTTGGTTTTATTATTTGTCTGAATAAACACCGAATTGCTCTTTAATTAATAGCGATGAGTGGAATCGAATTAATACTGATTTCTAAAGCATAGTGCAACTAAAGCATGGTTTCATGCGGATAATGAGAAGATTAATGATGATAGGCTACCAATGCATAAAAAGCAGCGAGAACCCTGGAATTTGATTTCCGATTCCAATATAACAAATTCTGTGGTTTCTTTGTTGCAATTTTGATTTCCTCCGTGTTAAACAATCAAAGTTCCTTAGAATATGCTTTTAGGTCTCCAATGAATTTAGCTTTAGAAGTGAGCTAAAATATGAGTTAACATATCTTCAACAATTTTGATTATTCTCCACGATCCTTTTCACTTTCTCCAAATAACTCCCCTTCAACAAGTTCACATCACCATTCTCGTGCTCTCGCTTCCAATGCCTAGCATCATTTTTAACTATTTTACTACATAATATACATTATATATATATTGTAATGTTAAAAATAATGAAATATTTGTGAGTGAGACGTGAACCCAATAGTTAGTTTATTGTTTTTAATATTTAAATTTTAAAATTTAGTAGCAATTTAAAATTGTTATTAAATATTAACAAATCATAGCAAATTTAGTTTTTTTTTCGTCAATTTTAACTTTAGTTTGTTAATCAACTAAATGAAATTTAAAGATAAATAAAATTTTTATTTAATTAATGCTAATGAGTGATTTTTTTTTTTATGTTAGAATTTGGTCCTAAATGTAACAAACAATACACTCTAAGAAATTTGATTTAAAAAAACTAAATGCTCTAAAATTAATAGTACTGATTTGTAATTGAAATAATTAAAATAAAAAAAATTACTTGTGATTTCCTTTGGCAAACAAATCAGAGTTCCTCAAGCTAGCTTTAGAAGTGAGTTAAAATATCTTCTAAAATTTAGATATTTACATATCAAGGAGAGTTCTTTTTTCACCTTTTATTTTTTTTTCTCTTGAGACTATATTTAAAGATAAAACATGCATCAAGTTAATCTATTGAATGCAACTATTAGTTTAAAAAATCATAATAATTAATTAATATACATTAAATGCAGATTAAAACTGAAAAGAGTATTCTAATGAATCCTATTATACATTTAAAATATTTTTGTTGTAATATTATTATTATTTTTCCATATCATATCACTTATCTCAAGTTTCATTTAAAGACTTAGAATTTAAATCTTAATTGTGAAAAATTTATTGATGACTAAATTAGATTTTTTTTAATGTTATTGTAATGGCATAGACCAAAATTTAATTTTTTTAAAGTATAAAGACTAATTAATATTCTTAAATTATTTGTGTATTTTAACCTTAAAATATTTATATTTTTTAAGTTATAAAACTTGTTAAATTTTAAAATATTCATATAATATATCTTTAATTTTTATAAATATTTTAGTTTAATAATCTTCATATAACTTACAGTAGATTTATTAGTTAATGATATAAATGTGTTCTCTCTTTGAATGTATTCGAAATCTATTAAATTTAAAAATAATTATACAAAATTTTAAAAGTTTTATTTGAAATTAAAAATATCCGTATAATGTATAAAAAAATTATTTGTTAAAAGAAGGGAAAAACAAAAGAGGTACCTAGATGAATGTGAGAATCAAATGTGCAAGTACTTTTAAAATTAGTTTTATAAATTTTAATCTTGAAGACACATTTTAAACAATAAAAGAAAGCATTATAGAAACAATATTTGTTATAAAAAGCAAAACACGCAAGAAACATTATTAATAAAAAAAATATAATTTTAGTGAATTAAAATTGATATTAATAAAATAAAATATCGATCTCTTTGGTGATTTAATTTCTATTAACAGGCGTTACTCTAAATAAAGATAAATGGAAAGTATCGTTTCGAATCGCTGCAAATTAGATCATGCATTTTATAAATCGAAACATAAACGGTTTAGGAGTCAGAGACAACTGTGAATTGTTTAATTTTAAAATTTAAAATGTAATGTCATTAACTGAAAACTTAGGGATAAGAAGTGCATCATTTTAGAACTGATTATAATTAAATTAACTTGTGGGGGGTAAATCCTAAGTGATAAAGGCATAACCGTGTGAAGAGATATTTTGGGGAAGGGTGAGAAACAGGAGGAGGGACATAAATAAGTAAAGAATACAGAAAACAAAGTTAAAAAGGGTAAAGAAGGAGCGTTGACCAGTCCACTGGGATGAGGAAGAAGGATCCAACGATCAATATGCACGATGTAATGAGGCAGCGTCCCCCAACCGCAAGATGAAGTTGCGAATCCAAATCGATTTGGTTTAGAAGGGTCGGAGACCCGGGCCCACAATGAAAAGCCCAATAATAAAATAATGAAATGGTGACGTGTCGATCCCTAATGGCGAGTGGTGGAGATATAAAAGGAGGCTTCCCTCAAGGGGTAGCCCTAAAGAGAGGGTTTGAGAGAAAGAATCGAAGATGAGTGGAAGAGTGAGTGGGAAGGTGAAGTGGTTCAATGACCAGAAGGGGTTTGGATTCATAACCCCTGACGATGGTAGCGAAGAACTCTTCGTTCACCAGTCCCAAATACGATCCGAAGGGTTTCGGAGTCTCGCTGAAGGAGAATCCGTCGAGTTTGCCATAGATTCTGACTCTGACGGTCGCTCTAAGGCCGTTGATGTAACCGGCCCCGATGGCACTAACCTCCAGGGGAGCCGTCGCGGCGGTGGTCCCGGCGGAGGCAACAGGGGCTATGGTGGTGGAAGAGGCGGTGGTTACGGTGGTGGTTACGGCGGCGGCGGCGGACGTGGAGGTGGAGGTGGAAGAGGAGGTGGTGGTGGCGGGGCTTGTTATAACTGCGGCGAGTCGGGTCACATGGCTAGGGACTGCTACCAGGGTGGCGGTGGAGGTAGGTACGGAGGCGGGGGTGGGGGTGGCGGCGGCGGCGGAGGAGGCTGCTACAACTGTGGGGAGTCTGGGCATTTCGCGAGAGATTGCCCTACAAATGCCCGTTGAGATTACAGTATAATGTGTTTGGTCTTTGCTTTTGTTAGGATATTGGGATGGGGTGGGGTTTTTGGGGTGGTTTATGGTTTGTGGTTCGGTTCAAGTGTTTTGTTTTGAATTAGTTTTAGGGGTTTTAATGAAGGATTTATCCAGATGTGGTTTTTTATATTATATGCAAGTTAGGTGTGGTTGGGACTTGGAATTGGATTTTGTTTTATGGCTTCGTGTAATGTGGGGTTTTTGTGAAACCCTCATATCATTGCTCTCTGTAAACAAAATCTGCTTGCTCTTACGTTTTGCTTTCATTAAACGTCTGATTTCGTTTATCACTGCTTTATTCAATGTTTCTGCTTTAAATTCTGGTGATTTGGCTTGAAGATTGTGTGGTGTCGTTTGGGTATGTGATTGTTGGTACTGAGACAACGAATGATTAAATCAAGCGTAGTTTGTTTATTTTTCGCCGGACTAGTGTTTTTAGTTTTTGTTTTTGTTTTCTGAGGATCCAATCTGCTGATTAAACCATTGTTTGACATGTGTTAATATGTTGTCTCGATGTCCGGCTTGTTCTGAATAATGCGTCTGTGCAACCGAAAAATTCAGAAAGCCTTTTGGGAATAGAATTAATTTACTATCCATCTTCTTTCTGATAATTGTTAGACATTGTGCAGGACGAGTTACGCTACACTACTAAATTGTGGTTTTTACCCCCAAATCATAATTTCAAAAGTTGGATATTGTGGAATAAAATCAGTGATGTGATTGTGAGAAGAACATACTTATGCAAAAACTGATAAACTTATGAATTGAATTCCCGCAAGCAGCTGCTGCACTACTCAATCATTCTAGTTCTTTTGTTATTGTTTTATACTCCTAATTTGACTGATGAAATGTGTAAAAGCTTAGTAGATCCCGACATTTTTAAAAGTAGCTGTGCTAGTTTTTTCTAAAGAAGTCTTGTGCATTTTTTAGTTGGAATCGTTTCCAGATTTGGTTGAAATATCATGTGAAAAAAGTTTTAATAAATCTTATATAAAATAAGTTTTTTATTTAGACGTGCCCACTGAAGAGTGATTTTTGTAATAGTCTATATGAATTGTATAAAAGAATTGTTTTTTAAAAGGTAAATGTATAAAACGGATATAAAGTTATGGGTTATGCTTACTTTTGCGTTAAGTAATTAATTAATATGGATAGAGTAAGAAAAAAAAGTTAAACTAATAATTTTAATTATTTTTATTACGTCTTTGCTTTTATAAAAAAACACAAAAAAATAAATTATTTTTTAATTAATACAAAATAAGAGTGAATAGTATTTTTAATATTTTTAAAATAATAAAGAAATAATGTTTTTCAAACAAACTAAATTTAATGTCATTTTACTGATTTTTCAAAATTCTCAATTGATTTTAATGATAAATTTTTAATGTAACCCAATTAAATATAAATTATTATATTTGGCTTTTGTTTGAATTTCTTAACAAAATAATAATAAATCTTGAAAACCAATTTCAGTATCAAATATCTCGTCAAGATCAATTGCTACAATCTTGAATTTAATATATTTATCTTTTATTCCAACTATCTTAAATCTAAAGTAGGATATATAAGTTAGAAATTTACTTATTCGGAAATTATTTTGTGGCTTTATTACGATATTTTATCTGATTTTTTGTATCCCACTTATTATCTGTTAAAACTCACTATTTGATATAAAAAATAAAAGCTATACAGTATAAAATATTAGATAAAAAAGGGGCTTCCTTGTATTGGAATACGCTATTATTCCCTTTCTCTACAAATTTTATAACAAAAAAAAACGATTATGAACTTAAAAATATTAGATAAATAAATTTTAAACAAATTCACAACTGCTGAATTTATAAAAATATGAATAACCGGTAATTTAAATTATGAGACTATAAAATAGTTTGGTATTATAACTTGATAAATAAAAATATCTATGAGCATAAATATTTGATTTGATTTGGACTAGCAATCTAGCAAGTTTAATATCTAAAATTTAAAATTTAATATGGGAAAAAATAAAAAAAAATTGAAATATCAGTTTGATTTTTGCATTATATATATATATATATATATATATATTAGATTGGTTTATAAGTCTCTGATTGGGTCACAAAACAGTCCATATTAAAAGCCCGAAAACCATATCCTACAAATGCTTAAAGAGATCTGTGTTTGGGCTTGATTCTCCTGTAAACCCAATCTTCTTCTTATTCTCTGGTTTTTGACCCAATATGCAAAAAGGGATCCGTTTGGATTTTTGACCAGTTTCCCTCCATTTATTCATCAAGCAGACTCTCATTATTTAGTCACAATGATCTCTGGATTTCTAACCAGAAAAGCTTCATGTCAGATGCTTTTTAATGGCATTTTTTCAAAGGAGATGGTAACATAAATAGAAAAGTAAAATAGCAAAGGGCAAAGCCTAAAACAATTCAATCCAACATGCTAATATTATACTACATGACAATTTATTATAATTAGTCTAATTATAAGTGATAATAACTTGCCAAAAAAATTGCATTTGATAATAGGAAGAGCGCATTAAAAGGGAGAATTATAACACTGTTTAAAAAATCCTAGACTGAAAACTATATTGTAACCCAAAAAAAAATCTAAAAAGTATGTCAGAGCTATATACAATGTTTAATGCTCATTGTTTTCATTTTCATTTTTATAAAGTTAAATTATTATAATCTCTTTTTATTTTAAAAGAATTGTATAAAAATGTTAAAAATGCAATAAAAATGTTGTTTTTACTATTTCTATATAAATATTTTTTAAAAGGTAAAATTAGGTGAATTTTATATAATTCAATTTTGTTGTTCATGATTTAGATTTTTTATCAAATTTTATGGAGTGGTTTTTCTTTTCTCACTTGTTGCTTAATTATAAATTTGTGTTTTTTTTTCCCAGTTCCCGTCAGTAACACATAATGTGGTGATTAAGTTAATTTGTTCACTTTGGCTTCCCATTCACCGGCATTCAAAAGTCATTGCAGGTTAATTTCTGACAACCTTCTATGCATGTAACACCATGCATCCCAAATTCAGAGTGTAGAATTATTTTTTGTTTGTTTGAAAGTCTGATTCAACCACTAAATATTTAAAATAATTTGTGAGACTACAGAGATCAAACAACTTAAGTCTTGAAAATAAAATAAAAAAATATTTTTTTCCTTTACGAAACACATTTATTTTAGTTTTTTTTATATATATTTTGTTTGTAAGTATCATTTTACCCTGAAAAAGAATAAGTGAACATGGTTTTATAAAGTTAAAAAACAATGAAAAAAATTTAAAAATTAAAATATTCAACCTAGGGTAGGTGGGTAGGAATTAAAAGACGGCAAAAGAGAACCTTAAAGTAAAAAAGGGATCTGCTGCGTGAAATTTGCAAGCTTACAATAATGGAGTTCAATATACAGAAGGTTCCGAGTTCCAAGAAGAATGAATGGCTCCGTTACTCTTGTCTTATTTCATTCAACAAAAAGTAGATGAAGTTCACTCCTTTAACAGAAAAAAGATAAAATTCAATTGAATCCAAAAATGGCGTATTTGAATCAGCCTTAAATCCTCTCAAAGATAACTACATTTTAACTCGAAGTTACACAGTACGTTGAAACATGTTTTAATATTGTAATCACATTAAAATGCACATAAAATCAATCTTTTAATGCTATTATATTTATGTTTATAAATTTTGTAACCTATTTTTTTTTTCGAAAAATAGAGGAGCATGTCTCCAAAGTCGATAGCATGGTGTGTTTGGGGGGGGGGAAAAGGAGAGCCACTTAAACCAATTAAGGAGAGAAGATGAACTTTAACTGAAAAGTTTCTATGCTTTGTTAATTGTTACTATGGTTTGCAGTAATTTGTTGTTTTCCTTGATATTCTTTTATCGTTCTTTCCCGGGTTTTGCATGCCTGTTGCATGAAAAAAGCTGTGTATGGTCTCAGAACTCGCATGAAAGGTCTGTTTACTTTAATAGATGGAAGATTGCATTGTCACTGTTTATTCCACTAACCTTTCGTGGGAAGGAGATGTATAATTATTAGATTCCCCACCCAACTCTCAGCATATGTTGCATTATATATATATATATATATATATATATATATATATATATATAGTGTCAATATATTACTACAGTGTATAGCAGCCTTATTTGTTGGCTCAACACATGCATGTACGTCACAGTAAATATTGTTTCCCTTTGTTCTTTAATTGTTTTGGTTTTGTTTGATTTGGGCTTCTCCTTTTCTTTCATAAACTCAGCTCTCTCTGCTGCTCTTTGAATCCTTGAAAAAGTGTGGCGAAGCAAAAGAAAGATGCTCTGGATTCTGGAACTATAGTTCCCATATCGAAGCTCAACTTTACACCTTTATTTCATCTCTAATCATTTTCAAGCCTGCTCACTCTTTGTTGTAGAGCAAAAAGGTAGTGAGTTTCATTTTACGTTTTGCATTTCCGAGGACATGGATCACCATAGCTTTCTTTGCTTTTGTCACTTCAATTTTGGAAACTTTTCAGTCTCGCAAAATTAAGATTTAACCAATACAGAGTTGTACTTGAATTACTTTTACGTTTTGGCTAAACAAAATGTAATACAATAAAAATCAATAAATTATATTATATTTTATTGAATATTTCTGTTTTTCTTTCATTATTATTTTGAAAAAAAATAAATTGATATTTTTGTTTAACAATCTTTTTTTCCTTCTTTTCAACCATATCTCAATAAAATGTCCAAATAATGATATGATGTTTTTAATCTTTTCATTCTATTTAATTTATACCACAATTTTATTTCATTATTTAGTATCCAAAATTAGCCTTTAAATTCCTTAGCATAGTGCAGTTGCACTAGTAAACAAGTTCATACTGAAATTTAAGAGGCTTAGACACAATTATTAGTGTTATTTCATAATAAACAATGTCATTTAATCTCATTAATCGCTTTAGATTTTAATCATTAAAATAAAAGCAATAATCATTAAGATAATACATCGGTTTTGTCTACTAAAAGTTTTGTCCTACTTAATTTGCGCCTGCACAATGTAACAAACCAAGAACTCACCAAAAATATAACTGAACGTTGTAACTTTTATTTCGTTTCTAAGCATTTTCATGATCTAAGCACATTGCCAAATAAGCTGGCAACAACTGGCAACGAATTAAGTTGTTTCTGATAGTTGATTAGCAAAGTTACTTAGCTGATTTCCCTCTTTGTACGGCTAGCTACATTCTAAGTAAACTTTTCGATTATTATAATATATTGAGTACACTGTGATTGTTCTTCAAATTCAATGATTCAATATCAAGAATAACTACACTACTGAATATTCATGCAACTCATCATCAAATATTCGACGATAGCCTTAAGTTCCTAGGCATAGAGGCATGGGTACAAGTTGCACCAGTAAACAAGTGTATATAATGAATTTGTGATTGCAAAATGTAGCCTAAAATCCCTTACAGAAAATAAGACGATTGAAACATTTTTATTTCATCTGAAAGTTACACATCTATAATCATTTTGAAGATCTAAGTGTAGGTAGAATGTTTCACTTGAGTAATTAATAGCAAGTAAAGGCACAAACGTTATATCCTCGTTTAATTGAGTTTATTAACCCTCTAAATTATTAAACGAACAAGTATTAAATATTTTTAATATTTGTAAGACATTAAATAATTTATTTTTTATTTAATACTATCTTCATATAGCAGGGAGAGTATTAACAGGAGACATTATTGTAAAAATGATCATACAACAGCGTCATGTTTAATCAGTTAAAACACAGACAAACTTTGTGCAATTTCATAAAACTTTTTTTGTTTTATAATTTTTTTTGGTTCATCTTATCAAAGCTGCCCATGACAAAGTGCTCAACTACCTTAAGACTATATAAAGAGAAAGAAATTGAAGAAGAATATGTTATGTTTATGACACGGCCAATACATCATAAATGCAGGGCATGACTGAACTGTGATTTATCATTCTCCATAACAATAACATGCATTGCCCCATTAAACATTAATCAATGCTCAGTGGCCATGATGAGGGTGGTGAAGAGGCGAAGGTGCGGTGGCATTGAGCTGTTGTGACGGCATAGGTGGTAAGGGTGGTGGGGGACATTGGTAGCACTTTGTGAAGAGTCCAAATGTGTCAATCTGGTGAATGAAATTAACCATACTGGCCCACCCACCAAATCCAAAGCCAACCACTAATACCCACACCACCACAAATGAGTTTATAATGTACGTTCCCACCCATCTTCCAACAAATTTGGGAGGTTGTTCCACCGCATTCTGCATCACAGCCATTCAAATTTAATAATAATTGATCAAAGCCTAACTATACAAAATGTAGAATATTCTCCAATATTTATGCGTTTGTCTTTAGGTTATGCAATATATTTTTTGGTTAATTGAACCAAATTAAATTAAAATAGTGCCTATATAGTAAATGAAAGAAAGGATGATAAGGAAGAAATCAGAAAAATATCAAGAAATGATCGGTTTAGGAGAAAATCCCGGGTTCGGTCTGCTAGACGGTGACCATACGCTAATACTTCACAATCATAATTTTCCTTTCCTTATCTTATTCCGTTGGTTTTAGACACAGTAAAAGCAAACAGAAAGAAATCGGAATAGATTACTTAAAATAATGAATGGAATAAATTCTAACACTGCCACGCTGCTGCCAAGTCAAACTATTGGGTTCCGACAATAGTGTTTCAGACATTGGAAGACCCACATGGCTGGCTACCTCTTTTTTGGTCCTACATGTGTTTATTTTGAATTTGTTTTCTTGTTTAGTTTAACTCTCTCTTTTGCTACTCAATAAATGACTAAAATGTTCGAATTTATAGGTACGAATGAACGTATTTGTTCTAGTACTTGTAGGAGGGAAGTTAAAGCAATATCAAAAGACCGTGAGGTACATAGAACAATTTTTTAACGGTGATAAGATTGTTATGAAAATCATTTAAAGTATATGCGGGAGTATAAAATTTTATTGAATACCTATTCATGTTTAAATGCATGGAATGAATTAGAAATTACAGACCAAAATTATTACTTAAACCATGTATTGAAGAATGATATGTATATGTGACATGAAAAATATATATAGTACCTGTCGGGCAGAGGGTGATTTGAAGGTGAAGATGTGAGCAAGGGCGGGGATGATGTAAACGGTGAAGCTAACAAGGAGAGAGCCAACGGTGGAGTTGATGGGACCAAAGAAGGGGAATATGATGGCTAAGAACCATATAGGGATCACCACCGGCAATCTAACCAATGCACGTTTGCACAGGCTCTTGCATTCGTGCATCCCTATTGCCTTCTCCCACACGAAGTATAATGGGGTGCATGCAAACCCGAATGTTATAAACTGCAATTCTCATCATTCAATTTAATTAGTATTATTAATTAAATAAAAATGTGATCCAAAATATTATATAGTATGCATGTATATATAATGTGTAATATGTAGTAATAACCGATAATAGATGTGTAATGAATGAATATATATGCTTGCCTGGTGTATTAGCATTAAAATGACAGCCATGTCTCGGAAGGGTGATCTTGGGAGGAGAGCAAAAGCATTGGAGTGATTTAGAAGCATGTCTCCAAATGCCCAATACACTGCTGCTGCCGATGGAAGCGTCAGTGTCAGCACATACAGGGTAGCCAGTAAGTATATGGCTTTGAACTTCTGAGGCTTCCACATAGCGTGCATTATCTCCCTGTACCAGTACATGTACCATTAATATATTTATTCATTTCATTTTATTTTACAATAATTAGTAGCATATAATTATAGTAATTACCAAAGTAATAATAATAATAATAATAACCCTTCTTGCCTAGCTGGTTATTTTGCGCAGCCAAAGTAATCTTAGGTGTCGTTGAATTTATCTTTGGGGCTTGCTAACCTACTCATGATAAGGAATGCATAATTTTTAATTAAATTATGTTTTTTATATATAACTAGAATAAAGGCGCTGATAAAGATACCACTTTTCTTTTGGGTAAAAAGAGATCAGAGAATAAGAGAAGGGAATAATTTGGGCCAAGGTTTGATTTTGCTGATCTGTGAGAAGAGACCTGAAAGCTAAGAAGTAGCAATCACTGAGGAAAGCTGGATCTCTCAGGGAGGGTCCTTCTCATGATAAAAAGCATCTAAGCATAGAACCATTTTAGAGAAAGAGCCTTGGCTTTCTCCAACCCAAAAAGAAACTCAAGAATAACAAAGAAAAAAGGCCACTTTTTTGCCTCCCACGCCTACCGAGGGTATTTTGGGCAAGCGCGCTACTGTTATGGAATACTGAATATTTTTCGTTTTTTATTTTTGGAAACAAAAATAACTTTATGTAATAACTAATAGCCTAAGATGAAGTTATGGGTATTTTCATCCTTTAATAGGGAAAAAGAAAATGACTTTAAGATGGGTCATTATATCTATGTTCAGATTATGTCTACAAAAGTCCAGGTTTAGTCATTATCAACACCAAGTTTAGCCCGAATTGTTGCATTGTTATTTCGCTTTCCCGTTTGGCATTATCTTAATTAGACTCTACTAACTAGTTATTCGTCCAAAGACAAGGCCAAGTGGTGAGAAAGAAACGTGGGCATATTTGTGAAAACGTAAAAGACACGAATATATATCTAAGATTGTCTTACACAGTAACAGCATGTCCCCCGAATGTGTAGAGAATGTTTGTGGCCCCCGTAAAATATAGAACCAATTTGGTCGGACCCGAATGCTTAACTCCGTCCACCTATACAATCATATTAACATTAGGAAAGCATACTATTACTATTATAATAATATATAATTTGCATATAATTAATAGTTTAATATCAGCAATAAGAAACAATACTTCTAGATTTTAATAAATAATCAATTATTTGTAACTAGGATTATTACCTGACCGTGAAGGAGAGAGGCAACTGTGAGGTACCAAGCAGTGTAAGTGGTCATGAGGAGGCCCAAAAAGGACCAGATTCTGTAGTTGTGAAAGGAAGGAATAAAGACAGTGGTGGCACAGCATGCTCCGAAGATGTAAGTCCAAGTCCTCTTGTCCAGATTGTCATTAATGTAATATATGTTGCTGAACAACATTAAAACAATATTCACACCCCAATGAAGTTGCAGCAGGTAGATTATTATCAGACATGCATGTGATGTGGGTTCCTTGTTTTAACTTAGATAAAATATATGTTATTATAATAAAGATAAATGTTCCATCTAGCTACAACTAATAAATAACGAAGAAAGAGTTAAAGGAAGGGCATTGAGTTGGAGTAGGTACCTTGCACAAGCTATGAGTTGTATAACAGATCCAAACAGAAGAAATGTGCAGTTAAAGGCCAAACCCACGTTTCTCCAATGCTTCCCGAGGAGCCCATCAAGAACCTCAAACCACTGCATAATTAATTTGTTTAAAACCAAAGTTAAACTTAAACTTGAATCAAGCGGTTGTACTTTGAACAATTAAATTAAATGACGTTAACTTGGGGGTTGAACCTGGATGACATGGTTCCGGAAGTTAACTTTTTCTCTCTCTTTTCTTGTTCTGTATTCAACGTAGAGTATGCTAATGAGGTAAGCAGTCCAGCTACCCAGCAAACCGTAGAATAGTTGAAAAAGTATGCCAGAGAGCATTCCCAGCTGGGAAAATGAATATGGCAACGTAAGCAGAACTTGAGCCACCTGACATGCATCAGAAAACCATTTATATCATTAACAACATAAAGAAAGAAAGCACATGGTGTTGTTGGATTCATATGCTCTATGGAATGGAACAAAAGATACAGCGTTCTCAAAAACATAAACATGGAAAGGATTTAAAAGAATATATTTTTAGAAGTAACCGACCTGGTTGGAAGCACAGCTAAACCAAGCATCATAAACAGAACCACCATGCCACAAGAAGCTTGATAACCTTGATTTTACGTCCTTGGGCTTCCCTTCAGTTTCCATTTCCACATAGTTCCCTGCTATCACTGTTTCTACCAGCTTATCCGATGCCATATTCTTTGTCTTTCAGATATCTGGATTACTTTGGCTTTCTTTCCACTCTGAGGTCTCTCAACTATTGTATTATGGTCCACTCTAGCTCCTTTATGTTGATATTCTTTACAGTGATGGGTTTGAGACTTTAAAAAATGCTAGGTGGGTGTGGAGTGGTTGAGGTTGGAAACGAGGATGGAGAGGAGTTTTGGAGTGGTGATATATATACAAGACAAGACACAAAAGGGTTCTCGAAGGTTGGGAGAGACTGTGTATGAAAGGTATTGTAGAGAGCGGTTTTGGGAAGTGAGTAAATCCGCTTTTTGAAGAACTAAAAGTAAAAGCTCCCGAGGTGCTTTGACGAAATCCCTTGGTTTTGGAGTCCCTTTTTGTAATTACAAATTTTATTATTTACCTGAATGCTCACGTCTTGGTTTGTTTGGTCATGACCCATTAGTCATTAACATAAGTTTATTTAAATTATATGATTAAAAGGGTCTGAAATGACATATTTTACTAGCTACTTAGGAAGCGTGATGGCTTGTGCGCACGAGCGGGCCTCTCGCTTCCCGAGTTGATGATAATTGCAAATTTCCCTTTACCCAATTTCACTGTTTTCTTTATTTAATTTGCTCAATTTGTGAATATTGTTTAATTGGTTTAAGATCGGATAGAGCTGAACGAACACTATAGTTATACAGTTGTTTTTCCTCCAATGTTCGGTGTTGAGGACTCAAAAGGTTCCACCCTTCAATTTGAATGGCTTTACATTTGCCAAAGTTGAATCTAGCTTGCTTTGTTGATAGTTTTATAGGAGGCACAAATGAAATTTCAACCAACCTTGTCCACACCTTTGTCTTAGCTTAATTCTTAGTATTGGAATGTGGAAAACAGAAGGGCTAACACGGCACATCAAAAGTAAGTTTGTTGGAGAACAAGGTCAATTTTGGAGAGGACAAAAGGATGAAAAAAGAAATAAGCAAATGAAGGAGTGTGGGAAATAATAACATACTAGACCGCATCATTGCAGCCAAACGGGCGTGGTCGCTTTGCAAGTCGAAGAAAGCTGCTTTTATCACATGGCCAACTCTTTGTAGACTCGAGGATCCCTTCCACCAAATTCCATGCTCAAAACCCAATTAAAACTCTTATATTCCACATGCAATATTTTTAATTGCATTTGTATGTGCATAAAAATAATATAATGGCATAGGGGGTTGAACTAGGACAAATACATAGATACAACATTGGTAGAATTGTTAGATCATGTGCCCCTTCCCAGCTGCACCTCTAAATTGTTAATATTTATCTCGTTTTTATTTGGTACACTAATATATTCTCTAATATCTCCTTGAAAGAAAAAATATTCTGTGTATATTATCTTAATCCTATAGATTCTCTCTGTTTTTTTTCCTTCATCCAAAATATAACTGCTGCCATTAAGATTTTCTTATTCTTTTTGTTACAGTGCCACTTTTTTTTACCCTCAAATAAAACAAATAAATAAAACCAACCTTTCTTTAGTTGTGTCATATATTTATTCAGCAATTTTGAACCACTAAAAACTACATAGAAATACATCATATTTCATGGGTTGGTAAAATGGTTCATTTCTTTCAGCCCTCGTTTTCATAGTCTTGAAAATTTCTGACTGTGGTCCTAATGATGCAGGAAAAGTTACCGGCGTTAATGTTTGTCTTTTTTTAAAAATTTGAATGAGTTGGCAAAAGAGCTCGCTGATTATTCTCCTTCTGCTCATGATGATAAACCATGATGAGTTTGTCTTTTTTTATGAATTAAGATAAGAAAATCATTTACCTAGTGGCACTGCTGATCATACTACGGAGATGAATTAAAATAAAAAGGGAAGCATGCATGACTTGAGGGTCTAAAAAGCATATGGTTTTGGGGCAGCTAAACATATTCATGAAGAATGTTGGAAGCCCACATACCACTCCTTGTTTGGTCATGCTTTCTAGTCACTGGGACCAGAAACATTCTCTGTGGCTTGTGTCTCCTTGACCACCTTCATTCTATTACCTATCTTCTAGTTTGTTCAAATTTATTCTTAGCATAATCAGCTACCTTGCACTTCATTGATTAGTATCACACTATCACCTCTTGATGGTATTAATACACTGGTGCAGGGAAATGTCCTTGTTATGTTTCCAACGTTGTTTCAACTAGGATTTCTACTGACCATCATTGTCAGGTGAATTGGTGGTTAACGTGGGTGTCTGCATAATTAGCACATTCAGTATGTTATGCACGTTTTGAAGCAATTTCGAAGCAAAATGATGTTTAGGGAAATTCCATTTTCTGATTCAATTATGATTCTTTCCTAGCTCATTTCCTAGAATAGTGTTATATTTTCTTATGAAAATGTTGCTTCATGTTTACTCCACAGCATGGTAACCCCATGAACCTTAATAGGCCATATCATGAATTTGGAAGTTAATACTAGTGACCTTTTGTGTCACTTTTGTTTAAGTTGATTTTGGATATATCAAAGTGACTCAATGAAAACAAAAAATTGGCTGCTGGTATCAATTGATAAAAATAAGAAATTACCAAGAGAGGAAATCATGAAGAAATAGTGTTTCTAAGAAGCTGGGATAAAAAGAATTAACACAGGCCTTGCCAGTTACAAAATTGTTTTTGTTGAATCACATTACAGTCCTTAATTAAGGTAGGGGACCAAGGGTGAAAAGTTGCATTTTTCGATTTCAATGATAATGTTGAAACAGAAACAAGATTTCAAGTTTTAACTGCATGCTTGTATCTGTCGGAATCAACAACACACAACTAACGATATCTAGTATGCCTGCTAAAGTTGGCAGCACGCTATGCAGTTTAGTGGTGAACTTGCAAGAGATTTTGGGAAGTCAAACCTATAAAGAGCAATCAGCAATGATTCTTCAAAGTTATTGCTCAATTTGGTTAAAGTGTGGAAAGGAGTATGTGTTTGATGCTTAACCACTCAGCTTGCTTATATTACTGTGGAACGTTATCATACCATAATCATCAATTAAATCCACTCTCAATTTTAAGCATGCAGCTCTAGCTATATGAAAGGCTATAATAAAATCTGAAGCTATATTTTATTTATCTTATGCCTATTGCTTAAACATGATAAAAATTAACCTTAAGTATTGCTTTCTTATATTTCCTTCTCAAGATGATTATGTACTACAATGATTAAAACTCCTATTGTAGGTCAATACTCAATCCTTTTTGGCACCCATATCTCCTTTCTTGCTGCGCTATTTTTGAATGTGGGTCTCCCTCTTCCTATTTTGATCATCAAAGATTGACGTTAGCACTTTTGGCTTTTGGTGGGCATGGAACAGCAAACCTGCATTGACTTGTGATTCAATTGCATAACGTGGATCCCTACTATTGCACCATTAGTACTTGACTAGTTGTTGATGCAATGGTTGTCAACCTTGTTGCCAAAGATGCATGTCTATGTTTATATATGCAATATAATTGGCATGATGTAATTTATCCACGAACATCATCATGTTAGGCCATCTTTATTGCCTCCATGCTGGGACCTCTCCTGTGTCCAAAAGAATCCTATCATGAAACACAACTTTTGCTTCACTTTAGTGCCTTCTTTTGCACTGTGATGATCCAACAAATATTCTCCAACATTTGCCAGCTACTTCGTCTTGGCAATTGATAGTTTTTGCAATTTTGTTGAATAAATAGCCTCAGGCCAAGTCATTCAATATTTCTTCATAATTAAAGTTGTGCCTTTTTCGGCTGACTGAAAATAGTTTTCATATTAAACGACAAATAGAATCACTGACATGAAAACAAAGATCTTCACTTATTAAAATAAAGACATAACGATAACAGTTTTGAGTTCACTATAGAAGTGGCCCATCTCTGAATTCTCATATCTACTTATTTAAAGTTGTAAAGATATATATATATATTTTATGTTAAAATTTTACTTGATTTACTTTTGTTTTTAACTAAAAATATATCGTTTTATTGTTTGTTTCTTGTTTCAAAGATATTATGACAGAAATAATGAAAGCAAAATTCTATTATTTTCAAAACTGTTATTAAAACGTTAAAAATAACAAAAAATATATATAAACAGTGATATTTTTATCATTGATAAAAATAACAAATATACTCACTACCACCTTATCCGGTCATTTCCATTTACTTTCCCCCTTTAATGTTGATAGATTCAATGTTAGTTCACCGACATCATTTTTTTACTGAAGACAAATACTATTTGAATTATATAAAATCACTATAATAATAATAATAATTCTCAAAATAATTGAAACTCGAACTTTAAAACAACATATAATTTCTCTTAAAATAATTTAATCGAAGCACACTCCTTTTCTTTTTCATTCTGGTGCTTTTTGTTTTTTAGGTCATTTTAGGCCTGACATTCGTAAAATACATCTTGAGGCCCAAATGGGCATCTCAGGAGAATGAAAGCAAACCCACAAAGAGGCCCAAAAAGAAGTAAAGAAAGCCCGGTACCCACTATGAAAGCTGGGAGATCATGATTCAGAGTAAATGATAAAAAAAAAAAAGAATCTTGATTTAGAGCAACCCCCTCCCTTATGAAGAAAAAATAATGTTATCATTAATTTTTAAAGTTAAAAATGACACATTTTTTTAATTAAAAATAATATATTTATTATATTTTGAATAAAATAATTTTTTAATAAAAATTATTAATTAATTTTAAATTCATATACAAAACAAAATAATCCAAAAATCCCGAATCTAATTTCGTTTCCTGGCATGACACGTAGGAAAAAGAGTCAAACCAGAAGCAGATATATAAGAAGCTTATGCTGCAAAAACACTGCATTTATGTGTCTTTTTCTTGATGAAACACTTGTGCTGTGCCATAACATCGTCTTGTGCGAGCTTTTGGTGTTGAATTATGGAGGCTTTGCCCCTCTAATCACTCTCGCTGCCCATGAGCTGAGCTCCAACCTACAACATAACACAACACTCATTGAGTTGTGTCAGGTACTTACTGCTCATTCATCCTTCTCTTCTTTCAGGAATTCCACATTTACATCCACATGTAGTTAAATACTATCTTTATTCTTCTTTTTGGCGGAACCAAACTATACTGTGTCTCTCTTGTGACGTTTATTGGGTTTATGGTTCGCTCTGACACAACATTGGTTTCAAGTCAAATGACCTTTCAGCTTGATTCCCTTTTGAGGCTAATTGATAACTGTTTGGGAAAGAGAGACAGGACGATGTTGCCTACTGCGCTCTTTTATTTTTGGTACTAAATGCTTACTTTACTACTCTTTATTGTAATAAGCATTCTCATATATTTAGTAGCAATTAAGGTTAAGTAGATCTGGGGCCACTTATTTTGTGATATGTTTCTTTTTAGTATACCAAAAAGAGTGGACATTTACTTCAGAGGCTTTATATTTGTAGGCTCCAAAATTTAAAAGTTGATAACCATATATCCTTGCTAACCCACTTTCTGGCTCTCACAAGACAAAATGTCAGGTGGACAAGATGGATTTTTAACCCGACCAAAGGCAGAATGGACACCCACTCGAGATGCATACTTGGTTGAACTTCTCATAGAGCAACACAAGAGTGGAAGAACAGCTTACAATGAGTTCAAAAATGAAGTTATTAAGTCTGTCACATGGGAGTTCAACAAAAAATTTGGGTTGAACTTGGAAGAGAATCAGATAAAAAATCGCTATAACGTTATGAAGAAAGATTATGGTGTTGTCAGGACACTGCTTAGCCACAAGGAGTTTGTCTGGGATGAAACTCGGCATATGGTTGTAGCAGATGATAAAGTGTGGGACAGTTATATCATGGCAAGTAACTAAGTACTAAGCATATGTTTTATTATGTATCAAAATTTGTTCCTACTTCATTTCATATGTACAAAATTCTAAAAGTTGTTATGTTTTGCTCATTAGAAAAGTTTGTGTAACTACATTTAGGTAAGGTGTGAAGCAAGACCTTTTAGACGCAAGAGCTTCCCACTGTATAAACAAATGTCCATCATATTTGAAGGTGAAGCCCTGACAGAATCTCTACATGGTGTTTCATTGTTTGTGGGGTTGGATACCAATTTATGGCTTGTTGAATGCAGGCGAAAGAGTGATTCCAAAAGGCCAATTTCCCAGTGGTGCAATGGCTACAGCAGAAGAAGGAAATAGCAACACAGAAACAGTTCGTTCTTCAGAGCCATGTAACCTCCCAACACAAGTAATTGATGGTACCCTTGACTCTGATTCAATAATCCGCATCAATGACATGCTAACCAAGAAGCACAAATTTAGCAATCCAGCAGAGTCCATTCGGAAAAAAAGAGCACACCTCAAAATTGGTGAAACTATAGAGAACACATTGTACGAAGTTTTCACAGCAGCCAAGTCCAAAGCTAAGCAAAGAAATGCATCCAATTCAACCACAATGTATAAGAATTGCTTGGAGGAGTTGCAGAAATTGGAGGAGTTGGATGACAATGAGTTTGCAAAGGCTGTTAATGCACTTAAGGATGACAAAAATGCTATTGCCTTTATAACAATTAAAGGGCCTAGACGTCTAACCTGGTTAAGGTCTCTATGGCACTCAGAGTAACATATGTACCTTATTTTAATTTTTATCATTTGAGAAGCCTAATGAAATGTTTGTTCATTCGTCCTATCTAAACCTTCTAGTAATTTAAGCATCTTCAAACCATATTTTGTTGAGATTATATTTACCCACACATTTGTTGGTTTTGTATTTCAATTTGCATCATGTTTTATGGTTAAAGCACATTCTGTAAAATTTTATACCATGATCACATATTGCAAGTTAAGAACATGCAAAGTCTTGGGACCTGGCACAGCTGAATGACATGGGGTCCGATACGGAGTAAGGTTGTGCTTCTGTTATGTGCCGGCAAATTAGCTGTCTTGTTCTTTTATTTTTTTATTTTTCCCCCCCTAAAACTAGATTAACTCAGAGTCATCTTAGCACAAATTAATGGATCAGATCAATGGCTACAAACCTCGAGCGCTTCCTAGCAAATGGACTCTAATTATTTATCAAGAAACAATTTCTACAAAATAAAATTATGTCTAATTTGATGTTTAGGATGTGCTAGTGACTAATTATGTTATTAAATATGAGAATTGTAGGATGAGCCTACAAAGGGAAAGATGGAAGATTGATGAGTGGAATCATGCATCATAAGTTCTATTCTGCAGTTAGTATAACCTTCGGTTACATGCCAAAAGTTAAAAAATATATATACATATATTAAAAAATGAAAAGGAAAGGAAAATCTTTAATTTTTTTTGGTGGTAAGGGAGATTATTGGAGTAAGAAAGAAACAGTGAAGAAGTGAATCAGCTTACGAAAACAGAAGCAAAAAGAAAGGGAAGAAAAAGAAAAGGAAAACAAAAGAAGATGCAAACCCCACGCACTCAGCTTCACAAGAAAGTGAAGTTATTTGGTTTTTTCTGAATCAATCTTTCTTCAAAGTTTTCTTCTTTGGTTATCCTTCGTCTTCCACATGGGTCGCCTTCTTCTCTTTCTCATTATTCTCAGCTTCGTTGCATTATCTTTCCTCTCAGGTAAACTTCACAACCACTCACAAATTAGGATATCACAAAATCATCATTGAAACACTGTTGTGTGGGTTCTTTCTTTGACTTTTGGTCGTTGAAGTTGCAGAGGTTCAATCAGCGTCGTTCAAGATCGTGAACAAGTGTCGTTACACGATATGGCCGGGATTACTCTCCGGCGCCACCTCACCGCCGCTTCCCACCACCGGATTTGCCCTCAGAAGCGGCAAGTCAAAGACCATAAACATCCCGAAATCTTGGTCGGGTCGGATATGGGCACGGACCCTCTGCGGTCAAGACCCGGACGGAAAATTCTCTTGCGTCACCGCCGACTGCGGTTCCGGCAAAGTAGAGTGCGCCGGCGGCGCCAAGCCGCCGGCCACATTGGCGGAGTTCACTCTTAACGGAGCCGATGGATTGGACTTCTACGACGTGAGTTTGGTCGACGGTTACAACCTTCCGATGCTGATCGTCGCCAAGGGAGGAACCAGGGGCGGATGCAGCGCCACCGGCTGTCTCGTCGACCTTAACGGTGGCTGTCCGGCGGATCTCAAGGTGGCGCGTGTGAACGGCACCGGTCGCAGCGTCGCGTGCCGGAGCGCATGCGAGGCTTTCGGGGATCCTCGTTATTGCTGCAGTGAGGCGTTCTCCACGCCTGACACGTGTAGTCCTTCCGTGTATTCGCAGTTCTTCAAGCATGCTTGCCCACGCGCCTACAGCTACGCGTATGATGACAAGACGAGCACCTATACATGTGCCTCCGCTAACTATTTGATCATTTTCTGTCCCATGCCCTATACTAGGTACAATTACTCTTTCACCATTGTGCATAAATAATTTAATATACAACGTGTAAAGGTAATTTTGACTTTTTGTTGGAAGCGTCTTCCATGTGGATGAACCTTGCTTTATAGTGGGGTTGAGTAATGCACAAACATGTTCTGCTATGTTTATGTAGAAACAGTACTTTTCCGCTCATGTGTATTGTGTTTTCTTCGTATGTTTAGCTGTTCATCTAGATAAGTACTATTTTCTCCAATGAAATAAACTAATTATCATGTGCTAATAATTGGACTTGTTTTGTCATGTTAATGAATAATTGGAGTGATGTTGAAATAAGTAGAGTGACATGCGACAAGTAATTTAGTTTTTACATGCCACAAATTATTTATTAGAGTATGTTTAAGTATATTTCTAGTGACCCACTTGCTCCATTGAGTTACGGGAAATGGTTGATTCACACAAAGGATTAGGCCTGCAGAAAATGGGGATTGTTGGATCAAATTCCTATATATTTTAATGAGCTCTGCAATGTTGTATCCCTTAGTAGGTTCTTTCTTGAATCAAATTTCGTGATCTCGTCTCAACCAAAATGAATATGAATAAACTTTGTATTCTCTTTCCATATTTCAATGACACGCGTATGTATATGCTTAAAAGTGAGCGTGCCCCCTTAATCAAAACTTTTCTTATACGTGAGTTTCTCTCCACTAAGTTTCTACTTTCCAAACTTGCTTTTCCTTTTGGTGTTTGGATTTTACTTGTTTTTGCTTTCATGGCCGACATCCCACCCCTAAAAATCACATAATAGGACAAAACCGTGTATGGACGATGAAGATTTGGCGTCTTTTAGGCTTTATTTTTACTTTTACATTATCTTTTAGACTTGTCATCTAGATAGTGTTTAAACATCTTTTAGACAATCACATAATTATTAATGTTGTGTGGTCTTGAGCAGCCAAAAACTGTTGGGAGCACGCAAAGATGGGGCACAGCTTCCTCTGGTAAATAAAACAATGATGTACTTGTCAAGCCTACAATCAGGAGGTTCTTCATCAATATCTCTGATTCAAACTCAGAGTATAGCTTATGTTGCCTCTATCACGGTGGCTTTCTTCCTGTTCTACCGTCTTTAGCATCCTTTCTGGCTTACCTTTTGCTTGGACACTCCTGGTAGACAGTGACACCAACACTAGCTGGTTATTAATGTAGCCCGTATAAGCTCTTCATGCTGTCTCCCTTTCTACTTTTATACATTAAAGTATCAAATCATAGCTGTGCTGATTCTGCTCATCGTGCAGGACTTGAAGGATATCATATAGGAAACACTGTAAATTCTTCCCTTTTTTTTTTGTTTATATTGTACCCTTTTGTTCCCGTCAACATTTTTGTTGTTGATCTCTTGCGGACCCTCAATTCTGATTTTGTTAACAGAGAGGCATCACCAATTTGCAAAGTATTATAGAATCAAACATCTGACAAGTTATCAGAGGCTCAATATTAGCATTAGATACATATTGTAATAAGTGCATCAGTGTATACATGAGATAGTGTTGTGGAGTTATGCTTCATGCAAAATTTTTCACTTCAATATGCTCATCTGTATGTGCGGCACCGTGTTGGATTGACGGGCTTATTAGAATATGCTTAATTATTTATTTCTAGGTACTTAAAATGTTCTTGCTAACTAACTTATGGCAATTGTTGAAGATTCAGCAAAGAAAAATCTTTAGTAAAAAGTCACGGTAGAAGTGTCCTGAAAATTACAGTGAAAATGTATTAAGTTTTCATTAGATTAGCATCTATCTTACTTAAGAAGCAAGTGTTAAGTCAATAAGGTAATAATGCTAACTAGTATTTTAAGAGTATTGGTTAAAGAGATGAAAGTAAAATAAAAATATGTTAAAAAATATTTTCAATGCAGATAATATGCCATAGTAAATATTGTCATTTAAATGGAAGAAATGTTTTTGCTCAATTGTCATTATTCAATTATAAGGACATGGAACAGTATAGGAAAAATAGACAACACATCTGAAACCTACCACCAACATGCTCGAGGACTTCCAAGTATCCATCAAAGGCGTCTTACTTTTATTCTTGCAATCTGGTAGTCTCTAAAATAAAAGAAGTTATATTGATATCATGTCCAATCCTTTTTGCATTTCTATTGGAAGAGTAGGCAAAAACTATTCAGGCTATATCAGATCATATCAGCCAACTGTAAAATGTTTTGGTAATGTATGTATCATCTCTACGAAAAATAGCTTTCATGTTTTCTAATGTCAAGTTGAATCAACAGGCAACCCCAAATTTCAAACACACGTCATCTGTGAATTTTATGTTTCAGGTGTTAATGAAAAAATGATAAAAAGTAGTGTTATGAAGAGAAAGTCCTATGTCAATAACGAAGGTTAAATATAAATAAATATACAAGGATTCGTATGCCAGCCTAATGATTTAAGATTTCTTATTCAGATATGATGTTAAGCTTAAAAGTCCTAGTTGGTATTTGTAGGCTTCTGCTTCCCACAATTTTGTTTTACATATTTGCAGTAAACTTTGTTATTTAAACCATTAAAAATTCATATTTAATACACACTTAACGGCGTCCACCTGTGCTAGACAACAACATTTTAACTCAATCTTCCATTTAGTGAACTCTATTGATGTTTTAGTACCCTGTTTGTTTTATATTTTTGATAAAATTAATTTAAAATCTTTGACCCTGATTGGATTACAAGCCTAAATTAATTTTAGCTACAAATTTTATATTTAAAGTTGTGCTATAATGTGTGAAATTAATCAGCGGCTAGCCAAACAAACACTTATTCACTAGCAAAGATGCTAGGCAGGTTTGCTACTATCTATTGATGTCTTTCAATCACTTTTTTTCTTAACATAATTACACTTTTATTTTCTCTTTCTTTTCTATCCTCCTCATCTTCCTCTTTTTCCAGCTATTTAACACTTCTAAATTGAGTGTCAAAAAATCAATTTTCTTTAAATAATATTTCGTGGACACACGTTGAAATTTACAAAAGATATGATTTGAACCCTATTTATGTTACCTGTGTCCTGCTAGACCTCACCACTAAATTATGTTACCTGCATCCATTAACGGAATGGCCTTACGACATAGGTTTTTTCATTAACTTGACCTTTTCAATTGAGAAATTAAAGAACCAAACAACTCCAAAAGTGCTAAGAAAAAAAAAGTGAAGACTATTTGAGATTTCGATAAATCACGAAATCTTATAGTTTGTTCAATGTTTAGAAGATTATAAATCTTAGAATAGTACATCTATTATTGAAAATTTAAACACTTAAATTTTTCAAAATTGAAACATAACCTGATTAATAGATCATAACTACGAGGGTACCCCAAGTGAATTTGTAATTTAGATTTCTTGATAAGATGCTTGAATACATTAACGCACAACGGATGCTTATTTTGTATCGTCCATCCGACACAAATATTCTTTGAGGAGAAAGTTAACTTTAGATAAGTTAAAATTGAGAACAAAGTGGGGGCTCTTTTTAAATCTTGGACGTGAAAACAAACAACCATCATCTAACTTTTTTTAATAATCATTCTTTTTATTTTTTTCATTTTGGTCAAATGACTCAAATGGGCCACAATTTCATTATGCTTTGTCTGAGAAAGGATGCTTAAATGGCCTTTGAAAATCATGTGTTCTAAACTTTGCTGTGTTAGAAATTTTTGAAGTTTCTGTTACTGCAGTGAAATAGTTCCCTGAACCGCAACTTGTCAATTTCTTCTCTTTTTGAGGGGAGGAGGAGGGGGAATAGACAAATTTTGCTCATGAGGATTCATTTTCTCGCCTTATTTTATGATAATAAAAACAATACTAGAAATAATCATGAAAATAATAAAATATTATAATTTAATAATTTTGTCAAAAAAATATGTAATCAATTGTAACAAAGTGTTAAAATTTAAAAATATTTGAAAGTGTTTACAAAATAAAAATATTTACAATTTTTATTTTTATTTTATTGCTAAACATAATGATATTTTTGGGAGAAAAAAAAAAGCCAGAAATCAAGAGTGTCAACAATAACAAGTAAAATATTTAGTAAAATTATTATTTTTACTGTTAGTCACATATATTTTTTAATATTAAAATCGACCAAGAACGGCATGTGAATTTGCAAATTTTCTTGTTATAACTAATTTAATTTTTAACCTACTTTTTTAATTCTATTTTAAATTTTAAAAATAAAAATCATTACTTTATTTTTTTTACTACTTTTGCATAACCTTCTAAATTTTCATAAATATTTATATTTATAAAAATTTCTTATTATCTTATATTTCGTAGTAAAGTTAAGTTAAAATAATGTTTAAATTCTTAAAAAAAATATTTTACATGCATGTATATAATTATTTAAAAAACTTATAATTTTTTTTAATTATATATATATATATATATTTGAATAAAATAAATGAGGCTAGTAACCAGTACGTAATATAATAACTAATAATAAATAAACTATCGTAGTTGGGTTAAAAAGAAAAATTAAGATGCATTATATATTGTATTGTTTTTTTCATATTCTTTCCGGATAAGATTTTTTTTTTTGTTCAACTGATAAAAGTTTAAATTGAAGGGTTATTTTTTCTGGTCTTATGCTCTTTTTTTCCCCAATATAGATGGTATTAGACTACTTCTAATTCAATTTGCAATCAGTGTATTAAAAATTTTATGTATCGTGTATCATGTTCATAAAAGGAGAATAAAATGAAACATATATTGTGTGATCATAGTTACACATTTAAAAGACATGTCATTTACTTGGAAAAATCATAAATATTTTACTGATAGGAAAATTTGACACCTTTCTTCGTAAAGATTAATTGTTTGTTCGTTCTATTTTTCGTATCACTTACATTATTAGCTTGAAAAAAGTATAATAAATATAATGAAATGTATGCGATTAATTCACTCTTTATATTTTAGTTTGGAATTATAACGTGATAGAGCATAAAGATAGGTTAGATTCGATTTTGTGCCTAACGAATTTGAAAGTGACTAAACTTTTTGTTTTTCATAAATACTTAATTTAAAGTAAGGTTAGATATATAATTTAGTTAAATCTTTATTTGATAAAAAATTATTGCATAAATATTTATATTAATTGTGAAACTTCTTAAAATAAATTTAAAAATTTTTTAATAAATATATCAATAATTTTTTATAATAAAGTAAAAAGTATTGGCTTTTAACAAAAAAAAGAAACTTGAAATGTGAAAAGTGTTATCTTAACTTATTTTTTGTATTAACAAATATTACCTTATTTTTATTTTTTTAATTTTCTTGTGAACAAAAAGAGTCTGCACCGTTTCGTATATAATATATCCTTGTAAAAGAAAAACTCTTTTCAGTCTGAACCAAAAGTCAAAAAAGGAAATTGAGAAACCCTATAAATAAAATATAGTATGTTTTATTTTTATTTTTAAATAAATAAGTATTGGCTTTTTGTGTTTGGAAGGAGAAACGAACCTTAAGAGTGTATTAAACGAACCGTAAGAGTGTGTTTTTATTTACATTTTGGGTCTTGTAAAGTTTGAAAGTCAAGATTTTCAGGTTTCGACGGTGTACCTTTGTGCCATAAAAAGAAGAGAAACGAAAATGGAATCCAATGCGTCTCACATAATTGCTGTGCGCTGCCACTGCCACTCTGCAACGGTCAATGATCTATAGTCTACGTGGCTACAGAGATGGTCCCACCTCTCACCTTAATTTGGATTTTATTCTCAATGTGTAATTCTTTTCTTAAATTGTAGGAATCTAATCCTGTAAACTAATTTTACAGAAGATATGAAAGTAAAGAAACTTGTATTATGAAATTGGGACGAACTCAAAACTAGTGAAATCAGCGTGATTAAAGGGATGTAATAATTATAAATAATATCATTATAACATACTTTTTAATGGTACAATTTATTATTATTGTTGGGCAAATAAACATCCCTCGTTGTCCTTTTACCCCGAAAACCCTCTCCTTCGTCGTTTTGTGGCTCCTAATTGGTAAACTCATTATCCAATCCAAACACTTGCAACACTGCTAACTCACTCACTCCCTAACACCAGGGTCTCGGCCCTGAACCTTGCATTCATTCTACTATCTCTCAGACTCTCACCATAACATAATAATCAAACACCTTTTTCTCCTAAACTTGAACCAGCGTATGGATTCCTTAACTGCCTCTTGTTTCACTCTCATTGCCCTCCTACTCCTCACTCCCGAAGGTACAAACATTCTCTTTACTAACACTAACCAAAACACTTTCTCACTTCTTCTTCTTCTTCCTCAGGTGTTAAGGGTGCTACCTTCACGTTCGTAAACAGATGCGAATACACAGTGTGGCCGGGTATTCTTGCAAATGCGGGTAGCGCGCCACTTGACAGCACCGGCTTCGAGCTTCCCAAAGACACTTCTCGCTCCTTTCAAGCTCCCACAGGCTGGTCCGGTCGATTCTGGGGTCGAACCGGTTGCAATTTCGACGGATCAGGTTCCGGGTCTTGTCTCACCGGCGACTGTGGCTCCGGCCAGCTCGAATGCAACGGCGCTGGAGCAGCCCCTCCGGCCACGCTCGCCGAGTTCACGCTGGGCACGGGAGGGCAAGACTTCTACGACGTGAGCCTCGTCGATGGCTACAATCTGCCTCTGATCGTGGAAGGGACTGGCGGGTCGGGTCAGTGTGCGTCCACGGGTTGCACGTCGGATCTGAACCAGCAATGCCCCGCGGAACTCAAGGCCTCGGAGGGAAGCGCGTGCAAGAGCGCGTGTGAGGCTTTTGGTAGCCCCGAGTACTGCTGCAGCGGCGCGTATGGTTCACCGGCCACTTGTAGGCCCTCTATATACTCCGAGATGTTCAAGGCTGCATGCCCCAGATCGTATAGCTACGCATACGATGATGCTACGAGTACATTCACATGTACTGGTGCTGATTATACCGTTACCTTTTGCCCATCCTCTCCAAGGTTAAAACATTAATCTATCTCTTTCTTTTTGTTTTACAGTGTCCTATGCTTTTGTGTCACAGATTTATAAATTTGGGGTATGATCTGTGTTAATTTAATACCTAACTTTTATCTTAGTTCAGTACTGTATTTTACTGATTTTATTGAAGTCTTAACTTTGAATCATCTCTGTTACAAGGACATTAGTTATAGTTTGATTAAAAGTTTTTATAATATATTTTAGCTGATAATTAGCTCACTTATTCTGCACAAGCACATTCCTTTGAGCATCCTGCATTTTGGGAGCATATCTATCCCTCTACATTTGATAGCAAATTTATTTTCTTTTAATGTTACATAATCATTGTTAAATTTATATGTAATGTATACTTTTTTCGATGAATACATGTGTGTGGCGTCAAAAATTCATGTAATGGAATGATGATTTATTTTATTCTGAGTGGGAGAATTTCCGATATGAGTGCGGTTGGTGGGTGTTCCATACCGCCAAAGGAGAACTTTTTAATGCTCAGCTATGAATAAATTGATTGTTATGTGAGTCTTGATGATGGTTGGTGCTTGGTGCTATTTCCATTACCTAATGCTATACAATAACATTTATATATGCACACGTATTTATGTGGGAAACGGATTCCTGCATTTTGCGCGGGAACTGCGGCCTGCAATTAAAATGAGTATAATGTATTGAACAGGAAAGTAAGCAAGCACTAAGTAGACTTAATTTTGTTTGACAAATTGATGATTGTCTTAGTATCTGCATGATTTGGTGTTGCAGTCAGAAATCTTCACGAGATACGAGTCCCATGACATCAACAACAACATCACAAGGGGCAGGGGCAGGGACGGGGACGGGGATGGGAACAGCAATGACAGGGACAGGGACTGGAACAGGGTCGGAAGGGGCAGTGGTATACACGGGTGCGGACACGGGCGTTGGGTATTCAGTTACGGATTCCGGTTCAAGTTCAGGATCCGGAGGAGAGACAATGCTGGCAGATGGGTCATATTTAGCTGGTTTAGCGATGGGAGACTCAGCTAGAACTGTTTCCTCCGCGTTTCTCTACTCTGTTAGCTTTTTGCTCATTGTCTGTTTGCTTTAGTTGCAGCAGCACAGCATTCTTGTGGCTCTTGGTTTGCTAAATGTAAATGGGTCTTAGATTTACGAGTTTTCATGGGTGGGTTCACGAATTTTGGCTTTGCCACTAAAGCTGGCAGATTCTCTCTCACTGTAAACCACCCACCTTAAGATTCGCCAAAAAAAATATTCCATGTTTCATTCGTTAAAGTGCTTGTTTTTATATTTTTAATCTTGGGAGTATTTATCTCCCCCATCCAAGCTTTTTTGAATTTCTATGATTGTTGCTAGTTTATAAAGCTAACATATTTCTGCATTTTTGGCCTGGCTTTGTTGGTTTCACATGTATGATGATGATGAAAACAATATAAATATCAGTACGACATAAGAGGAGAGAGGTTTTTTACACATAGTGAACTACCTGTTAAATGTCGTATCTTGCGTCTGAATTGGAGTTCACTTTGCGGCTGACGCAAGTAGTTTGATACTTCGATTATTGGCTTCTGTTTTTTTCTGTGGCGTGGGTGAAAGAATTTGGAGGGGCGATTGGTGAGTTTAACATTGTGGCTAGACAAAAAGAAAAAACGTTAATTGAGGCCTGAGGATTGAGATAGAATCGTAGAATACAGCAGCATACCAACTTCAATTATTGGCTTCAATATGGCGAGCCCAAACGCCCCATTGAAAATTTAGATTCCTGTTTATGAAGTCTTTTTTGTCATCAAGAATAGCAAGAATGTTATTCAATAAGATCGTATCGTATTAAAAGTGCTTCAATTTGGGGTTGAAACTAGACCCTTCAAAAAATTTCAACAAGAAGGATCATGATGTCCAAATGCGGCGGTTCAGCGGACCTACCACAAAGGTTTTTTCGATTAAGAGTGCGAAACATAAACATTTTTATTTATGCATTAAAATTTATTAACAATTAAAAAACACATGCGTAAACCCCATTATATTAAAAACAAGACCCATATATTTTATATTTTTTTTATTGATTTTAACTAATAAATTAAGAACAATGTATTACACAAGTTGTTGCTAACATTTGTTTTCCCAGTATATAGTAAATTTAGAACTTCAGTATTTGAATACCTCACATGATGTAAGCCGAGAATTCGTGGTTGTATTTGTCCTTTACTGGAGCTACGCTTGCGTCAATGGTGCCTGCTTAGTTTCTTAAACCTTTTTCTTTTGCCAAAATTTCGGGGGCTACTAGAGTTAGAAAGAAATTGTAACTCACAAACTTGGATAATACTCTTTACTTTCTACCTGTATTTTTACACCTTTCACAATCTACTTGAAATAATGGATGCGTAATGGAAAGGTATATATGCTAAGTATGCGGGTCCTTCATTTGCCATTGTTAAACGGGTCGTGGAGTACAATTGATTCTAACTTCCCATCTATCGTATCCAACAAAAATCTTTATTACATTCTCCATGCGCGAAAGCAAGAAAAAGAAATTATTAAGACAAGAATTTACAAATAGAAATTAACAGTGTAGTTTCTAAGACACTGAAGTCATTCGCGAACATGGTTGCTAATAATGGGTTCTAGTTTATATGCTGTCTCAAAGAAATGCAGAAAATGACCAAGTCTCTGCTCATAGAACAAAATGAAGTACGGCACTGCTGACAAACCCATTGCTACTTCATAAATGGCTACACTGATTGGCTAGCTACCTCTGCACTGATGTCTCTATCATTTCAAAATCAAATATATTGAAAGCTATTCGTTAAGCTGGACTGTGTACACAAATTAACAGAAGAGTACACAAATTAGAAACCCAACTCACAGCAAATTCACTTCTGAGAAATAATTACCATGCATTCTTGTTAGTTTGGCCATTAATTTGTGTTAAATTAAATAAACTTTCACCCATTCAACAAATCCGTTGTAGTCTAGGTGGTTAGGATACTCGGCTCTCACCCGAGAGACCCGGGTTCAAGTCCCGGCAACGGAAAATTTTTTATATAAAAATTCAATCACCTAACATATACATACCCAAGTTGATTACTTTCATTATGTGTTGGGTCATTTTTTCTTAATTCTTTTTTAACTCCCAAGAAGTGAAAAGAAATCTTTTAATTACATGTTATGAATTGGTTAATAGCTTCACAATGTAACAGGAAGATTGCAAATGGATTCCATTTATGAACATTTTTTGGATAAAAGTTTGCAAAGGGCACAATTACTGAAAATAAAATAAATAATAATGTGATGTTTATCAATTAATCTCTGAGTAAGAAGTGACATAATTGATGACTGTAAAAACTTCATTTACAAAATAAGCACAACAATACATATCTTGTTTGCCAAAATTTAAATTTTATTTTAGTGTAATTTTGATTCTCAAATCATTGTTCAAGTGAAAGTAAAAAAAAAGAAAAAACAATTCAGATAGGGCATAAGCTTCCTCCTTCATTGAACATGGTGTCAACACAATACAACACAACATCTAGTACAACAATGCTAAGGATTACAACCTTAGATTGCCACTATCCCAATTTGGATCTGGAAACTAATGACTTTCGCTAACTACCAAACGACACCGACTTTGAAGAACACGAGAAAACATCCAATACCACCACACAAAATCATCAAACAAAGTGCATAATATTTTTCTACCAAAAAACCCGCACAACACTAAATACACTTCCTACAAGTGGAACAAAAAGAACTTCATCTCACTAATATTCCTTCCAACAGAATGCTAATGAATCAAAATGGAATTGAAATAAATGGTCTACTTTTATTCAGAAAAATAAAATGAATTGACATTGGGATATCATTGAGCATAGAGTTCATCAATCCCAAGATTGTTATGCCATCTTGTGTGCCCCATTCCGGCTCATTGGCTATTTGATGTCCCTAAGGATTTCCTTGGATTTCTTGCTCATGGAAATCTTCTTGTAAATGTTCTTGGTTCTAAATGACAAAAGAATGTCTAAGAAGAACCCAACAATGCACGCTCCTGTCATGACTATGAAGACTAGCCTATAACAATGACCTCCAACGCAGGTGTTGCCCCCTCCCTCTATTGTAGTTGCTTCCATGTCATACAATATGCCCGCAAGCAACCCAGAAAAGAGGAAAGACCCCAGTGGAAGGTTAAGGATGAGAATATTATAGATGAGACCATAGTATTTGAGTCCAAACAACTCAGAGGCTGTTGGCACTGTAATAGCAAGCCTCACTCCATAACATATGCCAACTAAAATAGACCCAACGTAAAGGGAACCGGGCATAGCCAAGGCCATGAGTATGTAACCCACAGCCATCAGAAGCTGAGATGCTGCCATCCAAAGAGGTCTAGGTGTTGCTGCTTTCCTGTTACAAACAAAAAAACATACACACTTCAAACTTTTATGAACCAACGATAGTTGTAGTTTGATAGTTTATTGTCTTTCTACACAGGACCAAACACAATAGGAGAATCTAACACCCATCTAATATATTTCCATTTCGGATAACATGCATTTAACTCCAATTCCCATAACAGAATACAGAGTTGAGGATATATAATAAAGAATTGGCATCGCAAATTCGAGTACTAAAGTAGACAACAAAACATAAATGGGCACATCTTTAAAACATGACAATGTGAATCTTACTACAATTGACAAATCATGTTCAAGTGAAGTCAAACGCAAACATGTACTTATCAGTTACGACCAAAAAGCAACGTTCCAGTACTATAACATTGAGATCGAAATCTACCATTGAAAAGATAATAAAAAAAAGAATTTAATTTTGAAGACGTCAATATAAAAAATCTTATCATCTAATTGATTAATTATGTGGTGTGTCACTATCCCCGGTTGATTGCTACGCTTTGTTTCTTTTGGGCGCAATAACCAAAAAAGTATGCTACTGCCCAACAATTTATTTAGACATCTCAGATAAAGTTTAACATCATTTAAGCTCATTAATTGATATAAAAATGTGTTCTGAAAGAACAATATAATAATATATCAAAATTATATTCTAAATTAAAAAATCGTTATTCTGATACTTTGTTTAAATATTTATGTTTTATGCTGTTTGTTTAAAAAAGGAAAAAATAAAATAGTAAATTAATTCCGTTCCTTTTTTCATTAACCCTTTTCTTAATATCCTCAACTAAACCAACTTGATCACATTTGAATGGAATCGCACTAAGTCAAGTGGGTAGAATATTTTCATACTTCAATGAAATTCATTTGAAAGGTATAAGAAAAACAAAAAGACAAATGAAAAAGGAAATATATATATTTTTTAAAATCATATAATAATAGACCGAGTTGATTGGCGATTTGGCGTATTCAGAATACTTCAAAACAAATATTGATTTATAAAATATAATCATGTTGCAACTTGAACAATAAAAAATTACGATCGTTTCTAACATTATATATAATTTATTATTTTTTATGTACACATTAAACACATTGCCTAAAATTAAATGATATGATGTTTATTGTTTAAAAAAATTGTTAACGGTGAGCCAAATCAAATACATTTTCTTACAGCAGTTGTATTTTAATTTATTATCACTTTGTTTACTGCATTTTTCTTTTATCTTTGTCATTTGTTACGTCTTTTTTCCTTATTTAGAGGGTGTAAAACTATCATTTTTTTTTTTTGTTTATCAGCTCAAGCTTGTAGAGTTCGTAAATCAGTCTGAATCTGCTAACAGCTCAAACTATTTTTTGGTGAAATCCCTAATTCACAATCAAACTTACAGATATTTCACGTGTAAGAAATTTTATTAAAAAACATTTAGCTGAATCATTTATTAAAATATCTCTAAATCCTAGAAAGACTGAATTAATTTTATATGACCGTATATTCATCATGTAAATGCAACCAAATAGCATGAAAGATGTCTGATAATTGCTTTCACGAAAGAGGTTAGTGGGAATTGCTTTCATAAAAATCGTAGTTTGAATATTCAGCAAAAAGAAAAAAGAAAAAGCAGGACTAGTCGGAACTTGGAATAGAGAAGTCAATTAACATAGCTGGAGGAAAAAGGACTTACTTGATGGATAGCTCCGAAACAGAACCCGATATGATCCGTCCGAAAAACCCCCAAATACTCGTAAACGACACAAAGAGCGAAACATCACTGTAACCAAGCGCCAACCCGATTTGACCCATATTGTTCATCACGGCCAAACCCGTTCCAACCCCGCAAAGAAAAGACACAAACAAGATCCAAAAGTCAACGCTCCTCAACGCCTCCATTATCGTGTGCTCCTCCCCCACCACCGGTACCCTCTTTACCACCACCACCACTTCCTCCACCACCGCCACGCTTTCACTCCCCTTCTCCTTGCTTTGAATCAACGGTTCGTTCACCCGCTGCTCCTCAACGTCATTTCCCGCTCGAAACCGCTCCTTCAAGTACGAGTACACCGGGACCCCCAGCGGCGAGACCAACAGAATCAGCAAAACGGCGACGAACACTCGAGACACCAACGTGTTAGGGCTGGGAATGAACCCATAAGCCAACAAGTAAAGCGCGACGACGACGGCGATGGCGTTGAAAACGCCGAAGTACTTAGTCTCATGTGTGTCTTCAGAAGGAGGAACCTCTCGGAGGAAAAAGACACCGGTGAGACAAACGGCGAAGGGAATGATAGCGAGCATGACGAGGAAGGAGGCAGGGTCGTCGGCGAAAAGAGCAGAACAGAGGTTAGTGAAAATGGCAGTGCTCAACCCCACAAAACCCTTGAGAATGCCCGAAACAGGACCCCTGTTGCTTCTAAAGTTTCTTATGGAAGTCACCAAAACCGCAGTATTCATCCACGTTGTGCTATTCCCTCCCATGCACAGAAACACGCACATCTGTATTCACCGTATAATCATTTATAATTGATTTAAAAAAATTAACGAAAACAATAGCTATTAGGTTGATTAATTAGTTTAATTACCTGCCAATAGGGAAGCGGCTTGATTCTCTGGCTAACGACGAGCCACTGAGCGCCGTAGCCGATGAGACCCTCGACGGAGCCAATGAGAAGAATGACCCAGGTTGGGAAGCGATCGGAGGCGAGGCCGGCGAGAAGACCGAAGGCTTTTCCGACATCTTTAGCGACGGATAGGTTATTGAGTTGGACCTGAGTGAGATGCATGAGGGATTTGACAGCGTCGGAGTAGTTTGAAAAAGTGTAGTTGTTGCCGGAGATGCATTGGATCCAAACGGCGGTGACGAAGCCGAGCCATTTGCTGGTGGTTGAAACAGTAGAAGGAGTGAAAAAGGTGCCCATGACTTGAACAATCAAACTTTATTTAGGGACTAAGACATAGAATTCAGGGACCCATTTGGGTTATATTTATAGCAACCTGTTAACTCGTTTTCTTTCTCCTTCAACTTGACGTTGAAGGCGAGTGCAAGCACTGTAGCCACAACAGGACGGGAACCGTGGAGATTTTTTTTTTCAAATTAAACGGAAGAAAGAATATAAAAAGGGCAAATTGCAGTCGTACTGTGTGGGGTCCAGATCTTTTGGATCATAGACCGTACCAGTTTGATTTTTGAACATTATATATCTTCTCCACTTGATATTTCATGGTTCAAAAATTATACTACATAATATATAATACAACAAAATGAGTTGTTTATAAAATGTCTTTGATACTTTAAAAAAATACTTTTCTAATATTTGTTCAAAGTTCTTTTAGAATTTATTTATTTTAAAGTTGATTATAATTATTTTTTACTTGTTGAACATGGTTGTAATAAACGCCAAAATTAATTTTAGGCATGTGTTTTTATTAGAATAAGTTTATTTAATAAATAATGTGAGAATTATTTTTAACAGTAACCAAATGGATTCGTTTATTCTATGAATAATGAAGTTATCTTTTTTAGATTCAGAAATCATTTAATTATAATTTAAAAACATTCTTTTTACTAAAAAGCATTTTATTTTTCATTTAAAACGAAAAAAATAAAGAGTTCCATATTTTAACTAAACAAATGAGGCTTTTTTTAAAAAAAAAAAACATAAACTACAAAAAAAAAAATTTCACAAAAAAAATATATAGCAGGACTAATTAACTTTTTAAATCATTTTTTATTATTTATAGGACTTGAACATAAAAATTAATTTGAGAAAGATTAAATATTTATCATATAAACCAATAATCCATTCTTTAAAAAGTCAGACCTCAAAAAAAAAAAATTCGAGTTCGGATCAACCTTCAAAAATAATTGAGCAAATAAATTAAACTCATATTTGAAAATTGAAAAAAAATAATCTGAATTCATTTAGTATAAGCCTAATCCAATCTGATTAATCGCCATTCATACGTTTACGAAAAACTAATAAAATAACATGAAAGTTTTAAATTTGTGATAACATTTATATTTAATAAACTAATATCATATTCAAAATGAAATTGTATATTACTATAATAAAAATATAAAGACATAACCTCTACTCTGTTATAAATTATACTCATTATGTTAATAAATTTTTCTTCCCAGCCAAATATATACAATGTGACTATGGATGAATCAGTAGGTCCAAGGTAATTAATTAGAAATCCAATATAATGAATAGATTTGAAAACCCTAAAAGAGAAAAAGGGGTATTATCCATACACTAATTCCAGTCAAATCGTAATGAGTCAGCTGAATTTTGGCCCAATTTGCTTCCGGGTTCCAATTGAAGGCGTCGTGAACGAGAGACCCCACACAAATGCATTACATAATTGTGGTATATTTTGTTGCCCTCTTCTGGAAAAATGCTGAAACTTTAGAACTCAGAAATAGGGAACCGATGTTGCTCTGAGGGGAAACCATTCTTTTGGCACAATCAATTCATGCAATTGCTTAAAAACGATGGAGAAAAGAATGGTTTTATTGCTTTTTACGGGAAGCAACACAATTAGAGACGACACGTGTTTTTTGCGTGTCCTGGTATTTTTAAAACTATGGTTGAACATTATCGCCCTCGCTGCATGAACGAAATTCATGACCCAATTTCAGATCATATTGGAAAGGTTATGTGACAAACGCAGTTTCTAATTTTTTAAATATGTGACGCCATGGGATATATCTTGTGGTTACTATTACATGTTCTAATTTTTTATGATGAACCTTTGGTCAAAGAATCACGTAGCCACGTAAAAATAATATCATATTTTCATCTGTTAAAGCTGTCATAGTTTCATAAAATTATCAAACTATCCTTCAATAATAAAATTTAAGCATTAAATACCTCAATAAAATTCTCTATTTTTCTAAGAGATGGCAACTTGCTGTATCCTTTGACATAACAGATGACCTACCCTGTTCCGTGAAAAAGAACTGGAGAAAACACAAGCTACGTGGAAACGTCGTTACCATTATAGCACCAATGCTTTCTTTACCTTCTCAGGAATCTAATTTTCACAAGGATAACTTTACCTCTCGATCATAATTTTACAATAATTCTTATCTATATAATAAGATGAACAGTATCAAAAAAACAAATTATAAGTTGTAATACTGTAGACCTAAGTCGTGTATTAATTATCGTAGAGAGGTAGAGAAGAAATAATCATGGTTTAAGGTGGTGTTATGTATTAAATTATATAGATCCCGCGTATTTAATTAAAAAACCAATTACACTTAAGTAAAAATTATCAACAATATAGTTAGACAAATTTTTAGTGATTTTTTTTTTTGTATAAAGCAGCACCAGAATCTAAAATCTTAAAAATAATTAAATATGTATCACTTATATTAACTATTTAATGTTACGATCAAACTATTAGTTTAACTCCGTAAGTAGAAGACAAACATTAATTGAGTAGGCTCCTATTTTTCTATATGACGTTGAGAAAATTATGTGTTTGAAGTCTGACAATTTATGTATATGCATGTGCTTTAGTATATATTAAAAATTGACATAGAAAAGAGAAAAATATATGAAACAGAAAAAAAAAAAAACGAAAACAGCTGTCCTGCACTGTACGGGCGTAGCGCATGTGGTGTCTGCTTGATCTGTCACATGACATGACAAACGATGAAGGAGGTTTGCTTTTTAATGGTGATAAGATAAGATATCGCACCTATAGATTCACACTGAGACGTACGGGTCTCAGTCATCACCAAGCCACAACATGTTTTACACTTTCTTTTTAATTAAAATTTCAATTGAAGAAACAATTAAAAAAAAAAAGTACTGAATTTGAAACATCATGATGAATCAAAACGAAACTAAGTAGCAGGACCGAGAGAGAGATTTCATGTGCTATGAATCCAATGATGCCGATGCGTGCTGGCTGCAGTCATGCCTCGTCCCATGGATCTAGATCGATTCATGAACGTGATACTCTTGTTGAAAATGTTTTTAAATGATAAAAATATATATAAAAAATTAATCAATTACTATTTTTAAATAAAATTTATTTATTTATTAAAATTCAAAATCATATATTTTATTATAAATCGTTAGTAACAATTTTTAATATCATATCTTTGTAATTTTTATATTCAGTAATTAATTTTGCCGACCTTAATCTTACCTTAATTGTCAGTGGAAAAGAAAAAGGGGTGGTGTCTGTGGGTCCCCCCTACTTTAATTTGTTTTGCTACCCAATTGCATTTGCGTGCGTTATGGATTGGTCGTTATTATATCTTAGCTAACCACTTTAACGCCGTCTGAATTTGATATCCTGTTTGAATTATGGATACATTCGACCCTAACTCTCATAAATTTTAATATTTTTCAATTAATAAGTTAGAAAGATTATGTCGTCAGTAAATTAATATTTTTAAATTTGTTAGTTTTATTAAGTATAAAAATAGATTTTTTTAAAAAATATATATGTAACGAAATTTTCTTAAGAAATAAACTCCTTACATTTGAGTCATAAAAGATTATATAAAAAGATTTGCGAAGGTTTTGAAAAGAATTATACAAGAATGAATAAAAACTAAAAAAATAAAAGTAATAAAAAAAGAATGCTTTTTTTTCTCTCCACCATCTTTGCGCGTAGCTTTGACGCAATTCGCATCTTTGTTCAAATATTGATGCCCTGCCGCAAGTTGCAAGCGACGTTGTCTTTTAGATTTGTAATTAAGTTAACTCTTCAATGGCCTTATCTTAACTCTGATTAGATGAACCATCTACTAATTAGCAAGTACATGACGTCAACAATATCCCCAGCATTAATATTTCTTAAAACATATTAATAATACAATATTTCAAATATATATATATTAATTTTGCATGCCTTTTTCCATTAGTTGATTTTAAAAAATATGTATTTAACTTACCAAAGTAGCTGTTTGAAAATCATATAAAGTATATTACTATCATTCGCTGTATTTTCGATTAAAAGATAGTAAATCAGCAGGATGAGTTTATCCGGAGAATATGCTTGTGCATATGCATGCAACAAGCTCTTGCTTACGACTTACACAATAGGAAACATTGTTCTTGCAAATTTTGTATAAGCAATTTTATAATTGAGATAAGGAAAGAAGACAAATAAATAAAACATATAATATGATAGAACAGTGTAAAAAGAAAAAAGATCTTATAAACAATGTATATAATTTGTGTGAATTATATTAATTTCCTTTCTAAATTACATCATTTGTATTTTTTTTTTAAAAACTTACACAAAGTTGTCATGTATAAATACTGTTATATGTGAAAATATAATTCTAACGTGCTCACGAAAAAAAATTCACACAATGAGTTTTGTTTTTTAATTTTTATTTATCAACTCACAACTTTATTATTTGAGTGATACATACATCCGTAAGTTTTTTATAGGCAAAATATGACACAATTACACCTAATAAACAATAGAAAAAGCTAATAAATTTGACTTAACAACTACTTACTATTTTTAATATTTTATAGCTGACATTGAATGGTTATTCAACTAAAATAATATAGAAACAACTTTAACACTGAGTCATTAATTTGTTAAATTAACAACTTGTAGTACCAATTGCCAAGTTTATTTTTTAACATCCTCCCTTAAACTTGGATTATTTCAAGCATTATCTTCAACTTATAAAATAACTTAACTTAACTTTCAACAGCTTTATAAAAATATCTGCAATGTGTTCTTTAGTGGAACAATAATTAATATTCACTTCTTTCTCGGCTACTAGTTCTTAGATATTGTGAAATCTAATATCAATATGCTTGGACCACCCATGAAAATTTGAATTTTGGTAAAGTGTAATTGCAAACTTGTTATCACAAAATATTATTATGGAGATGTCTTGCTTCTTGTGCATCGTATCAAGCATTTTTCCCATTCTTGTATGTGTAATACAACTTGTTACAGCTATATATTTTACCTCAGCTATTGAGAGTATAATTG